AAACCGAGGAAGACACAGGGGACAGTGCGGGCAGTGAGCTTGTCCGTGCCAGAGGCACGAACGTGAGCAAGGCAGCCCCAGACGTGGAACGCAGACGCGTCACCGGGGGACCCGGTCCAAAGGAGGGTCGGCGAAACCTGCGGCCGCTGGGAGCGTGGCCACAGGTTAAGCTGGTGAGCCGCGTAGCGAACAGCGAACGGCCACAGAAAATGGGGGGCATCGGCATGGATCATGGAGGTACGGGCGACCTCCATGACCAAGCCGATGCGGCGCTTAGCAACCCCATTCTGCTGTGGCGAGTCCGGCAACGTGTACGACTGGGTGATGCCCTCCGCACGACAGAACTGTCCAAGCCGACCAGAGGCGAACTCGCCGCCACGGTCGGAGTGGAGACACAACACGGGGAGACCGCGGTGGAGACGCGCAGCCACAACCCACGGGAGAAGAACGTCGGGCACGTCGGCCTTCCGCTCCAGGGGAAACACCGTGGTGTAGCGCGTGTAGTCGTCGACAAGCACAAGGAAGTAGCGCTCACCGCGCGGTCCGGGGACGGGGGCAGGGCCCCAAACGTCCAAGTGCAGGGTCTGAAGGGGGGCAGTAGTAGGACGCAGCGAGGAGGAGTGAGGAGCACGGCGGAGCCGACCCTCGACGCAAGGCGTGCACGGTGGCGCAGTCGAGGGAGGAAGGGCAGGGAGCGACGCGGGGAGACCTAAGACAAGACCGTGCTGGGACATGTGACGCAGACGCGGGAGAGCAGGGTGACCTAAGCGGTGGTGCCAGAGAAGGGAGGGGTGAGTGAGGGACCGACACGAGCAAGCTGCAGCGACCTGGGAGGACGCACCAACCGGGGGGGAAGCGGTGTGTAGGGTAAACAGACCGGACACCGGGTCCCGGTGGAACGTCGCAAGGGGGGAACCTGAGACAGCCTCAGAACAGACAGCGAACCGCTCGTGCCCGGGGAACGTAGTGGTGACGCCGAGGTCCTGGAGACAGCCGACACCAACCAGGTTCCTAGAGAACGAGGGAACGTGAAGGCCAGTAAGGGAGCCCGAGGGAACTGCCGGACAGGGAAGGGACGTAGAACTGCGCGCGACGACCGGACCCGCAGAGGGGTCAGCGAGAGAGACAACAGCAGGTGCAGCAAGCGGCGTGAGCGTGGAACGGTCGCGGAAGAAGCAGGCAGAAGCACCAGAGTCGAGAGTGAAGGACAGCGACGCAGTGGCGGGGGCCGGGGACGGAGCCGGTGCAGCGACTAGACTAGGCAACCTAGGCAGTCCTACGCCTGTCGCAGCAGGGGAAGCTAAGCTACACAAGGGTGAAACACCTAAACTAGAGTACACAGGGTAGTAAGATCCATCAACACTAGAAGCGTCAGCATACAAAGCATGCAAAGCAGCACCTATCTGATCCATGTCTAACTCAAAGATCGGCACGCCCTGGCGGAGCAGGCTGTGCCAGTCAGGGAGGTCCGGGGCCGGGCCAAAGCGACGACGAAAAAGATCGTCGAGGCGGCGGAAACAGCGGGCGGTCGGGTGCGGGCGGCGGCACAGAGTGCCGCGGAGAGGCCCGGTCTGAAGCTGGTACTGGCAGGTCACAGCACTGGAGCCGCTGGTAGACGCCAAGCTGCGCAGGCCGCCACCACGGCCACCGCCTCCGGAGGTGCCGGGCCAACCAGGCGGGAGACGAGCCCACGGCTGCGGCGGGTGCTGCTGGGACGGCGGCTACGGCTGGGGCTGGTCCTGCTGCTGCTGGGACTGCTGCTCCTGCCCACCGGTGGTAGTCCCCTCAGGCGGACTACCGTCACCACCACCACGACCACTACCACCTGCGTCACCACCCCTACCTCCCTGGCGGCCACGGCCACCGCGACGCGAGCGCTGCTGCGGGTGGACAGCAGCAGCCGTCTCGGTAAGAGGGGTCGCCGTGGCGACCGCAGCCGAAACGTCAGTGAACGTGCACGGGGATGGGGCACAGCCGTGAAAGATAGAGACTGGCGGCGCACCGCTCGACTGAGCGATAGTGCGCTGGCGAGTCTCGATCTCAGTGAGGGTGTCGACAAAGGCGGTCAGGGTGAGGTCACCCGGGTGCTGGCTAAGAAAGTGGTCGCGAGCACTAGCGAGGCGGTCTGGCAGGCGCATAGCGATAAAATAGAGCGTCATGCAGAAAGGAGGGGGGAGCGCAGTGAGCTGGGCAGCAGTGCTGGCAGTGCGATAGCGAGTCTCTAGGGCACGCAAATGAGTGGCAAAATCTGCGACAGTAGGGAAGGCAGCCAGGTCTGGGAACAGCATCGGAAAGAGCAAGCGGCCAGCAGAAGCGGAGGCAGGGGTGGAATAGCGAGCAATAACGGCGTCTAAATAAGCTTTGGCCGTTTCAACAGTAGCAAAACGCGAGCGCTCAGACACAGGGAGGGCGTGACTAATAGCAACCTGAGCTACTGCATCGCGTGAGTCCCAGATCGCACAGGCCAGCGCAGCAGTAGAGAAAGCCTCACGGTCATCAGAGGAGGGGTCAGCAGGGAGGGGAGTAGGTGCAGGGGGACGGGGGAGCAAGCCATCAGCATGGACAACCAGAGAGTGGCCATCCTGGCGCTGACCTGTAAGCTGGCGGCGAAGATCGGAGAGCCAGGCGGCGAAGTCAACCGCGTGGCCCTCAGCGTCCAGGCGGAGCACAAAGTCAGCCATCGTGCAGGGTCAGCGGCACAGCTCCTCAGCGACACAGCGGCACAGCAGCACAGCTCCTCAGCGGCACAGGAGCATAGCGGCGCGGGGACACGGCGGCAGCACTCTCCAGTAGGGCAGCAGCTAGGCGTCCCAGCGCAGGCAAGCAGAAGACACAGGGCCCGAGAGGACACGGCAGGCCGAGCAGGGGAGGCGGGCAGGTGCTCTGGGGCCGGGCTGGTGCTGGGAGGGGCCAGGCTGGTGCTGCTGGGGCCGGTCGGGCACGAGGAGGGGCCAAGCAGCGCTGAGGAGAGGCCGGGCGGCGCTAGGAAGGGGCCGGGCGGCACTAGGAGGAGGCCGGGCGGCACTAGGAGGAGGCCAGGCGGGCGAGCGCTAACAGCAGGCGCGACAGGGGCCAGCGGGCGCGACGGGGCCTAAGGGGCGCGACGGGGCCCAGCGGGCACGACGGGGCCCAGGGGGGGCGCGACGGGGCCGAGGAGGCGCGACGGGGACCAGCGGGCACGACGGGGCCCAGGGGGGCCGCGACGGGGCCTAACGGGCGCGACGGGGCCCAGGGGGGGCGCGACGGGGCCTAGCAGGCGCGACGGGGCCTAGGAAGCGCGAAGGGGCCCAGCGGGCGCGACGGGGCCTAGGAGGGGCGCGACGGGGCCGAACGGGCGCGACGGGGCCCAGAGGGGGGGGACGCGACGGGGCTTAGGAGGCGCGACGATGCCTAGGAGGCACGACGGGGCTCAGCGGGCTCGACGGGGCCCATGGGGGGCGCGACGGGGCCTAGGAGGCGCAACGGGGCCCAGCGGGGGCGCGTTAGGGCCTAGGGGTCGCGACGGGACCCAGCGGGCGCGACGGGGCCTAGGGGGAGCGCGACGGGGCCTAGGAGGCGCGACGGGGCCCAGCGGGCACGACGGGGCCCAGGGGGGGCGCGACGGGGCCTAACGAGCGCGACGGGGCCCAGGGGGGGCGCGACGGGGCCTAGGGGGCGCGACGGGGCCTAGGAGGCGCGACGGGCGGAAGCGGTAGGCGGGGGGATCCTAACCTAAGCGTGATACCATGTTAACGTAGAAACGAATGATTACTAGAGGTGGAAACCTAGAACAAATACTAGTTGGTTGTACTCACTAGAAGCATACCTCAGTCTAGCCTATAACTTCTACATAGATAATATGTATAAGTTGACAGTTGCAAGGTATTCATACGCATCCGATGTACCGTATCCACCTGGATAGGCGCCCCCCCCGAGGATAGGACCATGAGTCCTTTAAACAGCTAATGGGGCTAATGCACATTATTTGATTATAAGCCCCTCGCCCCTTGGAGATCAATTCGTTATTTAAGCCCCTAGAAGTGTACGAGAGTGATTTTTTTTATTGCGAAATATCACATCGCTTTTGTCGAGTGCGTTTGCCTCCTTCCGCAAAATTCTGCTCTCAGACAACTCATTGTGTGTTTCTGCTGCATGCGCACACACTATCTATGACCCTGCGTGAGAAAACCTCACGTCAGACTAATGTTGTCCTCACATTAGATTTCACAATTCAATGTGCCGCAACTCGTTTCTTCGCGAAAGTGACATAAGGTTGAATCTGACGCGAGGTGTAGAAATGGTCCGAAACAAAATCGCCGAATCTGTTAAAGCCGCCGTACACATTCCCAGTGCTATGGACAAATGCTACAGTAAATTTTGATGGGCAAGATGCGGATTGGGTAGCGAGAGTGACGAAAATGTTGAGATGGTCGCGACGGGAGGAATCGTGCCAACCGTGACCCATCGATTTCGTCAAGCTACGCCTCTGCGCAGGGGGAGGGGGAACTGCGCAAGAGTGAGCGCAACTAACCCCCCCCCTCCCCCTGCGGCTCTCTGCGTGAAAAGCAGAGTCAGGAAGGGCAACCAAGGAAATGCGGCCACAACGTTGCGTGAATCAATTTGCGAGTTGCAGTTGGTAGGCGAAAGGTGGGTGGGACTTGGAGAAAGAAAAAAGGGCCAGGAACCGCCCACACGCCACAAAAACGCTCGCCAAGCAACCAATAACGCGGAAAGCAAGTGTCTGGCGAATTGCGAGTAACGGGCTATGAACGACGCAACGCCCCACGCCCCGCGCCCTTCACCCCAGCACCACATGTTCCATGTTACAGTTACACGATGACAACCAATAGCAGCGTTAGGCAAGAATACAATGCGAAAGCCGCGAAAAGCCGACACCACTATTCCATGCTTCCCCCACGGGGGACAAACCAAGGAACGTTGATATAAACATTCCCAACACATTCTCCTCACCACCAGCACGACCGGAGGTACTAGGCAAAAACAAGGGAAGAGAGTAGGGCGATTCCTCTCCCACAGCAGCGTAACAGCACATGCGAGAGACGAATAAGCCGTTGGTGATACATGCTGCCACATAGACGCCCAGCGCGAGCGCACCTCATGCAGAATGGCTAAACTCGCCACTGCAATATTATCTCAACATTGAGCCGTAAAGACAAGAGCATTCCAGAAACATGACAGCAAAGAAAGCCAAGTTACGGGCAGAATGGGTCGGATAGCTGAAGGACATAATAAAGAAGAAAGACACACAGAATTTGGCGGTTGCGAAAAACATGCAGCTGCCAATATGCTTCCTCCGAATAGGGCTGAGTGTGCTTATGGGGGAGGGGAAAGCGGCGACGCTTGCTGACTTGGTTTACTTTCTACTTACGGCGGGCTCAGATGCGAAGGGTAGAATCATTACAGCGGCCATAAATGCAGGTGAGAAAGCCCACCCAAAAGGATTAGGAGAATCGCCACCTAAGCTCGGCAATTGCGTGGAAGTCTAATGTTACCATCTTAGTTTGTCTACAGGGTCCGACAGCGCAACAGCGGCGATGAGTGTGGAAGTTCTGCTTGGCATTTACGGGAGGGAGTTTGAAGGAGCCGCTGCTGGAGAACCAGCGACAGTGATTGAACGCACAACGGAGCCTATCCTTGGGTTGAAATGCGCTTTCCCAGAATGCGCTGCGGGTCCCAAGAAGACGGTGTGCCAATCGGGACGTGTGTTCCAATGGGGGGGTGTCCGCAGGGGGGAGACATTCGCCGACCAGCATGAAAATGGTATGTTCTCCTAGCTGGGGGGGGGTTTGAAAGCCCCCCCAAGGTGAACGGAGCCCTTCAACTGTCCATACACTCGCAACCGTCCTCACAATGCAACTGATAGCATTGTTGCAAGGTACAGGTCGGACCTTGTGCAGCCGTTATGCATATGTGTTATGCTTTTCAGCCCATTGACCACAGCACGATCTATGTGCATGTTTGGGATATGGGCAACAGAGCTGAGCATAGAGGGCAATTTCTCAGCCCACGATCTATGTGCATGTTTTACCCAAACATGATCTTTGCCCATTGCTACAGAGGGGGCCCAAACTTGAACTTTGCCCATGGCTACTGTTTTGCCCAAACTGTAGCTTTGCACATGGGCTTCAGTTTTGGGGAAACTGTAGCTCTGCCCAGGTGCTACAGCTTTGCCCAATGTGTAGCTTTGCCCATGGGGTACAGACTTGCCAAAGCTGGATCCGCACCCATGGGCTACAGTTCTCCCCAAAATGAGGCTTTGCCCATGGGCTGTCGATTTGCCAAAACTGGATCTGCACCCATGGAATATGGTTTTGCACAAGCTGTGGTATCGGCCATGGGCTACTGAATGGGCCAAGCTGTAGCATTGGCCATGGGCTACAGTTTTGCCCAAACTGCCACTTCGCCATTTTTCTCCAGTTTTGCCCAAACAAGGCTTAGCCCATGGTCTACAGATTTGCCACATCTGGATCTGCACCCGTGGGATACAGTTTTGCCCAAGCTGCAGTATCGGCCATGGGCTACAAGAATGGGCCAAGCTGTAGCATTGGCCATGGGCTACAGTGTTGCCCAGAATGAGTCTTTGCCCATGGGCTGCAAATTTGCCAAAACAGGTTCTGCACCCATGGGATACAGTTTTGCCCAAAACTGTAGCATTAACCATGGGCTACTGTTTTGCCCCCTCTGCCTATTGTCCCCCCACCAATGTGCCCCGTCTGCTCCTCCCACAGGAATGGACGCACACCAGGCAACTATCGAGGGCAGCGCGGCCACTCCCGAGGGGACTGGAGAGATGCATGACGTTTGTACTAGATGTGGAGCCGGACATGAACGAGCTCACAGGACAGGTGGAGATTGTCATGCACGGCTGTGAGGCAGAGTCAGATCCCCCACCACCAGGGAGGCCTCAATAAAGCCACGGGGGCAGTCAAGACACGGCGCATCCAACTGGGTAAGTGAATTAGAAGCATGGGGGATTGGGCTTTTTGGGGATAAGGGGAGCATCATCTTGAAGGCAAGCAGTGATAGCCATTGTAAGTGAGCCCAGCACAACACACATGGGCTAGGGAGAGGTGGCGTGAAGTAGTACATATGTCATTGCTGTGCACCCATTGCAGCACTCTGGTTGGAATGCCAGTACCTGGAAGGGCGATGGCGGCTGGCCAATCCGACCGCTGTGGTCAAGTTTGCAGAGTGTCCTTGGCTTGCTCGACCCATTGCATCTGTTGACATTCCTGATGCTCCTATCGATGAAGTGTACCGGTGCCAAGTCATGCAACGGTTGGATGTGGTTGCAGTGGGCATGGCTGGGGATGCTTTGGGTTTGTGACGCATGTGGGAAAACCCATCCTTTCTGGAGCATAGATCGTCGGCAAGGGGGGAGTACCACTACTAAGCCGCGAAGGAAGTGTATGACGATCATGCAGCGCTTCATGGCAGCATTTGCCTTGGCGGGTGGAGGTTTCCAGTTGATGTTTGAGGTAGGAAGAAGCCTTGGGATATCAATTCCTTGTAAAACAACGTTCTACAACTACATGAAAGGGGTAGGAGGCTTATGGGAGACCATAATCAAGCATGCAAACAGGAGCATGGAATGTGTGCGGAGGGGGATGGAGAGCGAAAAGGAGAGGCGATCCCTACCAGGGCATTGGGTGTGCGTTGATGGTTGATGGGGTCAACTGAGGGAGGCAGAGTGGTGTAGTGTGACTTTCCTCGATCCACTGGCAAGAAAAGTTCTGCACTATATCACTGTGTCGAACAGCCCTAGAGGGGGTGGCATTTAGGCGAGGGCTTGAGGATCTCAAACAGTGGGGTTTCAGGGTAAAGGGGATAATAACAAACGAGGGAGGGACTTTCAAGGCAGCTATTGTTGGGGAGGAGATCGAACATCAGCAAGGTGTATGGCACAAAGGAAGAACCCTCTCCAAAAAGCTTGTCAAATATATGGTCGACGCAAGGAAGGTCGGGAAGCGGGTTTCAGAAGCAGCCACTATTGAGGACTTATGGGATGTCCCTCCAGTTCACCCCCGTGCTTGGCTCCGTGTGAAATTAGGGGAGAAACTACTTGGGATAAAAAAAAGGGCCACCAAGAAAGAGCTGATCCAAGTAGTGTGCAAGGCACAAGGGATGGCCTTCAAGAATTTGAATGACTCTGCAACGCCATTTTTGTATCCAGAGATGAGGAAGGTGACGCTGGTGCGTCAACGCACACAACGTGCGTCACGAAGAGGAACCTGGGGTGTCATAGTCCATGTTCCTGTGATAGAGGCAGGCTCGGATGCGACGAGGGAGGGGCAGACAACCAATGTGGAGGGACGTGACATGCATGCCACCACTTTGGAGGGTGGTTACGTGATCATTGACATCCTAGACGGCGAATTCGATACAAGGCCATCACAGGATAGCAAGCCACTGCATGTGGAGTATGATGATGTGAAGGAACAATAGGGTTATGACCCCCATTCGGAGCACGGTGTGCGTCCGTGCTCAGTCAATGCATTCATCCGCTTGTTGCAGCCATGTTAGGCGATCGGCTGGCGGATCGGGTGGTGACTCTACTACCGAGGATGCTGACCATTCTGGTGAGTGATCATTTGCCTTTCTCATGACTACAGCACCGACCCTCTGCCATGCCCTCTCCCATAATGCTACCCTTTCCCCAAACCCACCTCTTTCTAGGGCCACAGTATATAGTTCACCCTCCCCCCCAACCCCTCCCTCTCCTCCTAACCCCTTTTTCGTTGCTGTATTTTCCCCCCCTCTATTCCCGGGGCGTTTTCTCCACTCCCTCACCTCCCCTTGGTTTTGCTGTGCTGCTCTTGCACGGGCAGCCACTACCTCCTGCGCCGCTCTTTCTAGAGGGTGGTTACTCCTCACTCTCCTGCACTTGGTTTGCTCCTCTCTTCACTGTAGTGGTAACCGCCCCCACTCTTCCCCCTCCCTCTCCTCACTTACTCCCAGACCTCCAGATTTTTGGACTTCCCCCTCCTCCCCCCCCTCCCCCTCTCTCTCCCCCCCTCCCCTCATTGCAAGGGCGGCCTCTCCCATTTCCCTCACACATTTTCCAGGGGTTGAGTCGCCGTCCTTGTCCCTTGTTTTATCTGCTCCCATGTTGCTTCAGAATCGGGGTTAGGGCGACAGCCCTTCTGAGCTCACAACACCCCCCCTATTCCACTTAACCATCTGTGTATGTGAACCATCTTTCTAGGCAACAGCACATGGGACCAGGAGCCACCTGCGACCCCTACCAGCCCCAGATCCGTCACCACGGGGAAGGCTGGTACACCAAGTCGGAAGAGAAGATGGGTGGATAGAGGGGCCGCTAAGAAGAAGGCAACACCTGCGAACAGTGAGAGTGGGCTGGATGAAGAATGTGAGGGTGTGATTCGCGAGGTGACAATGGCACAAAGATTCTGCATTCATTTTCACCACATCATGGCTCGTTGTGCAGCATGTGCTAGGAATGGTACATGGATGACGACAGAGGAGGTCGCAGAGGAGCTTGGTATGGCCGCCGATCATTGGGCAAGTGATCACACGCGGTGCAATCGAGGCCAAGAGGTCCCTAGATGTGTTACTGATGGATGGGGGCGTGAGAACGCTCTTTATGAGAAAGGGTCTCGAACGCATGCTTTCAAAGAATGGCTGGCTGAAAATTGTGGGCCAGAACAGATGCGCCCATACGTTAGCGGAGCCAGCAGCTGGATGAATGAATCATTCCACTCCCTGATATGCAAGTACGCACCAAAAAGAATACGCTTTCATGGTAGCATGAGGGCTCGCGTGGGGCTAACTGTTATGCACTGGAATAACTTGCTCGACCGGGAGGTGTTGACCATCCGAACCAGAATCCGGCGGGCTACTCGTGTGCGGCGTGGGAAAAAGGATCGCGTCCTTGGTCCAATGAGGTGGCAATGGGTTGATGAGATCATGCGGGACTGGAGCTGCCTGGATGGGGACGAGGTGGAGGAGGGGCCTAGGGATGTGCCGGTGGTTGCAGCCCCAGAGACTCCTCAAAAGACTTTGGCTGGATCTGGTACCCGCCCTCGGTCATCATGTGATGTCATCAACACATCCGGCTCAGCCCCACCCTCCAAGCAGCAACGGACTGACGGGCGGGTGCGCCGCTCGGTGCTAGGTGGGTATGCTTGTGATTCATTGACAATCACGGGATTTGTGATTAGGGGGCGCACCAAGCGCATGCGATCGCATAGCACACCCATCAGTATGGGCGAAGAAACCTAGTGGCTGATGTAGCACCACCCTGTCATGTTCATGTGCCCTCCTTCTCCCACGCTATAGGAGAGACAACCAACATGCATCGGTCTGCTCAGTGTGTCACGCGCTAACGCATGGTCTAAGCAGCGGATGCATTCCTCGCCAGATACATAGACTTGCGTCCAATTCCCCACACTCAACACCCTGTTTCAGTCTTACGAAACCCTGGTGGGCGGCGTGGTGCACATGTGAGGGTTGACACCGATGCATACTTCCCCTCACCCACCTCTACCTCAACAGTTGTCACTGCTGATATGCCTAACCTCTGAACTTACCATATCCCATTGTGCGTGCTTGGCTGTTCCTTTTCTCCCATCATGGTGCTCCAGCCAGGTACCTTGGGCAACTTGGAGGTTGCTGGTTGGCTCAGTCGCTAACCCTGTCTTTCATCCAATGCTGCCAAGCAACGACCATCCTCTCATTCTATGCCTAACCATACCAAGCATGTGCGTTGCGTCTAAATAGGGTGCCATGGCCCCATAGTGTCATGCCACAGTGCAAATGCTATTGCCTGCCTTGCCAACCTGATCTAGCAATGCTATCTCCACCTTGCTGTACCTTACAACGTCCGGACTCATCGTCCCTTGCACAACAATGATTTGATCCCCTGACGGACTGAGCCTAGTAACTTGGACCGAGTGTACATGCAGCCTCGTGTGCCCCCCCGCCTCTTTTGGTTGCCCCTCCATATACCCCAGCTGTAGGCAGCAGCTGAGCAGCACTTCCAAGTGCTCCATTCGAGGTCCCTTCCCTATTCTTCATGGTTTCCACGCGTGCCATCTGCTTGGATGAAAGCTGGGAGTGGGGCAGCGCATGATGCTTATGCCGCATGCCAATCCCGCTAATGCACACACCTGTTTTTACGCTAGTGAGCAGTCTAAGCATATCATGGCCATGGACCAACTGAACCACACAAGTGTGTGCGTTGGCCTCATTAGACATGGATATTGTTTACTTTTGCATCTCATATGGCAGTTTTAGGTATCACTTGACACCAGGCATGCAGTGTAATGTTGACATGCTTCTCATAAACACAGCGGCAATAATACACAGCACTTTTAGCACCGCATTTCTCTTGGCATCTACTAGTAGCACCTCATTCCACCATGGCTTCCGCAAAGCGGTCTCCACACCCCATTCTAATGCACATTAGCGCATGCGTGATGTGCCCAGCATCCCACACTGTCAGAGGCACAACATCCGATGATGGGTTAGGAACGGGACTGCCTGCATGTATAGCAGCATTGGATATAGCAGGCTGGAGCTGCCTGGTGGAGTACCTACTGTGTGAGGTGGGGCGTCAGAAAGGGGGGAGTAGGGGCGACTGGAGGTGAGCTTAGAGGGGGGAGCGAGGGGGACTGGAAGTGAGTTTGGAGGGGGGAGTGAGGGGGACTGGGGGTGACTCTAGAGGGGGGAGTGAGGGGGTCTGGAGGTGAGTTTGGAGGGGGACTGAGGGGGGCCGGAGGTGAGTTCAGAGGGGAAAGTGCAAGGGACTGGAGGTGACTTTAGAGGGGGGAGTGTGGGGGAGTGGAGGTGAGTTTGGAGGGGAAAGTGCAGGAGAGTGGAGGTGAGTTTAGAGGGGGGAGAGAGGGGGACTCGAGGTGAGCTTCGAGGGGGGAGTGAGGGGGACTGGAGGTGAGTTTGGAGGGGGGACTGAGGGGGACTAAAGGTGACTTTCGAGGGGTGAGTATGGGGGACTGGAGGTGAGTTTGGAGGGGGGACTGAGGGGGACTAAAGGTGACTTTAGAGGGGTGAGTGTGGGGGACTGGAGGTGACTTTGGAGGGGGGAGTGGGACTGGAGGTCACTTCGGAGGGGGGAGGTGAGGGGGACTGGAGGTGAGTTTAGGGGGGGAGTGAGGGGGACTGGAGGTGAGTATGGAGGGGGGAGTGAGGGGGACTCGAGGGGGAGTGAGGGTGACTGGAGGTGCTTTTAGTGGGGGAGTGAGGGGGGGGGGACGTCAGTAGGGAGGGGAGAGTGAGGGGGACTGGACATGAGCGAGGGGGACTGGTGGTGAGTTTAGAGGGGAAAGCAAGGGGGACTGAAGGTGAGTTTAGAGGGGGGACCGAGGGGGAGTGGAGGTGGCTTTCGAGGGGGGAGTGAGGGGGACTGGAGGTGACTTTAGAGGGGTGAGTGAGGGGGACTGGAGGTGAGTTGTGAGGGGAAAGTACAGGGGACTGTTGATGGCTTTAGAGGCGGGAGTGAGGGGGGCTGGGGGTACAGTTTAGAGGGGAAAGTGCAAGGGAATGGATGTGACTTTAAAGGGGGGAGTGTGGGGGACTGGAGGTGAGTCTAGAGGGGAAAGTGCAGGGCACTGGAGGCGAGTATAGAGGGGGGAGTGAGGGGGACTGGAGGTGACTTTGGAGGGGGGAGTGGGACTGGAGGTCACTTTGGAGGGGAAAGCGAGAGGAACTGGAGGTGGATTTAGAGGGGGGAGATGAGGGGGAGTGGCGGTGAGTTTAGGAGGGGGAATGAGGGGACTGGAGGTGGCTTTCGAGGGGGAAGATGAGGGGGAGTGGCGGTGAGTTTAGGGGGGGGGGTGAGGGGGACTGGAGGTGGCTTTAGTGGGGGGAGACGAGGGGGAGTGGCGGTGAGTTTAGGGGGGGGAGTGAGGGGGACTGGAGGTGGCTTTAGAGGGGGAGATGAGGGGTACTGGCGGTGAGTTTAGGGGGGGGAGTGAGAGGGAGTGGAGGTGAGTTTGGGGGGGGGGGTGAGGGACTGCTTTTGCGGGGGGGGGTGAGGGGGTGTGGAGGTGAGTTGGGAGGGTGGAGTGAGGGGGACTGGACATGAGCGAGGGGGACTGGAGGTGAGGGGGACTGAAGGTGACTTTAGAGGGGGAACTGAGGGGGAGTGGAAGTGACTTTAGAGGGGGGAGTGAGGGAGGAGAGTCTAGAGGGGAAAGTGCAGGGGACTGGAGGTGAGTTTAGAGGGGGGAGTGAGGGGGACTGGTGGTGACTCTAGAGGGAGGATTGAGGGGGGCTGGTGGTGACTTTAGATGGGGGAGTGAGGGGATAGAAGGTGCGTTTCTTGAGGGGAGTGAGGGGGACTGGAGGTGACTTTAGAGGGGGGATTGGGGGCCACTGGGGGAATCGGTGCAGGATGGCATGGGCGAATGGTGGGAAATGTGTGGGATGGGAGAGTTGAAAGGTCCCATGGGTGAGGGATGGGAGTGGTGCCTTGTGGCGGCAGTGATGGGCGTCGCCACACCTCATCTCCTCGGCGCTCGGTGTTTCCTCAATTCACCGCATCGCCTCTCTGCACCTCTCATCGTCACCCACATTCTCTTCTCCACCTAGTATGTTCGTCGCCGCCTCTCGTTCCCTCACCGCACCTATGTTTGTCGCCGCCTGTCGTCCCCTCGCCGTACCTATGTTCGTCGCCGCCTCTCGTCTCCTCGCCGCACCTATGTTCGTCGTCGCACCTCTATTCGTTGTCGCGTCTTTTCCCTTCGCAACAACTCTACTGTCGTCGCGTCTCTCCTTGACGGACCTCTCCTTATTAGTCTCCCTCTTTACGTTATCCCTCTCCCTGTACCTATTCCTTTTTTCCCTGTCTGCTCTGTGTCGTAGCAGTGCTTACCCGGGGCTGGACTAGTCGGAACCTGCGCTGATAATACTGTCGATTGCTTATGATCTACAGCGCATGAGTGTGCAGATGCTATCGGTTCTAATCACCGGCAATGGAGTGGGAGTGTGGATCGTTATCCTCTGGCAGTATGCTTACCGTTCTTGGGTACTTGGGAGTGCAATTTTCTGTTCAGATTTTACACGCTGGTTGAATTGGTAGACAGCCATGGGGCCGTCCCAACAGCTCGGGAGTTCCTGGTTGGGCTCGGTTCATTCCGAACGTGTGGTGGATCAAATATCAAATTCCAAGGCTGGGAGCGGTTCGGTCTGGTGTACTGCATGATTGACCGTGTAATAAATGCCCACAATGTGCCTCTCCCCTCTGTGGGAATGTTTTCCGCAGACCCTCCCCCCTGCTTCCCAACTTTTGCCCAAGCCAGGCAGCAGGAAACCACGTTACCAATTTTCAATTTATAAATATTGGGTCAACTTCCAAGGAATGTGCACCGCGGCTTTAACTTCCAGCACATGCATAGCAGGATTCCTATTGGCTCATAGAGTCAGCAAGTGTGACAGCATCTTCAGAGAGCATTTTCTCCTGAATCTTCCACACGACCCTCGCCAATTCGACCAGAATTTGATAGCAGCAACATGGACGCACACTCCTACTTTGTTTTTAAAAAAATCCTTATAATTACGTAAGATTAGCTCTGGGGCCTTTTTTTTTTTTTTTCTTTTTTTTTTTAATTCGATCATTAGCCCCGCCCCTTCCCAGCCCAATTCGCCCTACACGCCCCTAGGGGCGCCTATCTGGATGGATACGGTGAAAAGTCTGTCCGTCTGGTAGCCGTAGGTAAGTAGTCCAGTTAATAGCGGGGAGGTTTGGGCAAGGATGATTGAGAAAGGGGGTCAGCGATGTTGGATGCCCCTTTCTTGTACGTAACCGTGTAGTGGAAGCTGGACTCCATAAAATCCAACCATCGAATTTGTTGTGGGTCGCGCACAAATGTTATGTAGGCTGCGATTGTCTATCCATACTGTCATGTCTGTGCCTGTTTGGTGACAGCGCCACCGTTTGAAAGCATGCACGATCGTGAGCTTTTCAGCATTTCCCTATCGTGTATCAAATAGTTTTGCTCATGAGGTTGTAGGCCGCCGCCGAAGTCATGGAACAATTCTGCGCCGATGGAGATGTCGCTTGCGTCAGTGATTACTTCGAATAAATGGTGGGGATTGGCAATGCGAAGGATAGGGACTGAGCTCAGAGAAGGCAGATTGCTCCTTCTCCCCCTTTTTATACTTAGTCCCTTTCCGCATCAGCTCAGTCAACAATGCAGTTACCCCCACCATATTTGGTCTCTGAACGTAATTTACGAACCCTAAAAAACTCTGCAGCTGCAGTAGGTTCGAAGACGGTAGCCAGGTCTGCACTGTCTCGATCTTACGCGGATCCACTTCAACGCCCTTGGTGGAGATAACATGGCCTAAAAACTCTAACCGATATTCTAAAAAATTGCACTCATACCCCTTCGTGAGCAGCCGGTGCTCCCGGAGTAGCGTGAAAACTGCTTCGAGATCCTTTAAGTGATGCGCCCGGGTCTCACTGTAAATCAGGATGTCATCAAGGTTAACTATAACACATTTATCTACAAGCGGGCTAAAGATCTGGCTCATGGTCATTTGGAAAGTTGTGAGGGGCGTTTGTGAGTCCGAAACACAGTCTTATGACAGTCGGGTGCATCTACGCGTATCTGGTGGTAACCTCATCGTAAATCTATTTTCGAGAAGAATCGGGTTGCGCGAAGTTGGTTGATCAGTTCCACCACACGAGGGATGGGGTTACATGGCTTGATAGTCACTTGGTTCAGTGCTCAGTAATCCGTGCACATGCCGTAACCCCAGTCCTTCTTTGGAGTGAAAAGTATGGGGGAGGCAAATGGAGATGAACTCGGGAGATGAATGTTTTTTCGAGTAAGTAAACAAACTGTTTTCGTAACTCCTCTGACCCCAGCTGTGTTAGTCGAAATTGCCGTTTGACTATAGGCTAGGTCCCTGGTTCTAATTCTATTCTATGGTCGAAAGGCTGCTCTGGAGGTAATCCCTTGGGCAGGTCGTATGGAAATATCTATGGAAATCTGTGAATTAATTGCGCTAGGTCGGTCGGCATTGCTGCTGTCAGCTTCTCTAAGTCAAACAGCTGCGGTGCCACGTCAACTTTGCGAATGACTACAGTGCAGACTTCTGCTCCGCGTGTGACGGCTCGTTTGATCGCCACGGAGTTCACCTGCGTCACTCCCCATGTGATCCCCTTCGTTCATTCTGGTAACACTACACTACGACAGTCGATCTTCACCGAACACCTGCCGGTCGTGCAATCTATCCTTGGATTAAAATGTTGTAACCAATCTCGACGCAACAACATGTCGAACCCGTCGAGTGTAGTAGCCAACATCCTCTTTTTTTTTTTTTAAGTCAGCTCCACACCTTACCCTTATCTTATCTGCCCAATCCTTTATTGCTAATAGGATACCATTGACTAGGCGGGCGCCAATCTCTGAAAAAACACCTAACTAGGGGGAACTTGTTTTTAGATGTGGTGAGGTTGATGAAACTGTGGATGCCACCTCTGTCCACGAAGATTTTTTTGCCTAAACTTTACCCTCTAAATAAAAGGGTAATCTATCACCGCACCCTCCTTATTCAATCGGGTTTGGTCGATTGCGTGAATTGGTAGCAGAAATTGATGAGGATCATTGGTCACGGGCGAGCAGGTTCCATCAGTATTAGGCCCTTTAACTAACTTTAAGCGTTTCCCTGGTCCATGGAACTCCCCTACCCCCTAATTCCGCTTATTCCGCTCCTTTAAGCACTCCTGCTTGCGGTGTCTAGGCGTGTCACTCCCCAAGCAGCGATACTTGAAGGTTGTAACTGTCGCATTTGAGGTAGTAAGTGCGTGTACAATGGCATGCTCGAGTGGTCCCTGAGTGTGATTTCTATCGTAGGAACCCGCCCTTGGTTTGAAGAACAAATCCAACCGTTCCGCAACGTGCTATGCCTTGAATAAATCTGTGATTTTTTGTACTTGAAGTTTCAGCGCAGATCCGGTCGAAGGTCCCTGATCTATCTGTCAATTTTCTCGACAGGGTGCATGTAGCCAACCTGGTCACATAGATTTTTTAAGCTGCTGGTATAACCCCGGACCGATCCGTGTTGGCACCACGTGCGAAGGCGGTTGCATGCCTGACTGCTTGCATTGACGTATTCGAAGCAGCGACAAATTCCCGCGCACCACGATTGACACGTGCTATACTCGTCCACGTCACCCAATGATTGGTCGTGCGAAAGTGCCCGATCACACATGACATCGTATCCAGCTCTTATGACAGTAGAACGTGCTGCCACCATTCTATCGCTAGTCCACGTAGGAGTGACACAGTGTAGCGAATCTTCTAGGGATTGTCGACGATGAGGTTGCACCCGTAAAATACATTATGGTGAAAAATCCATCCGGTAACGGGCAGATTGTCACGCTGGCTTGAATCGAACGTGGGCGGCCTCTGCATCTTGAGTATGTCGGATGCCATGCTAACGCTGGCAGTTTGCAGGCTGACTTGAATGTAATTGGTTGGGTGGGGAATGGGGGGTGGGTGAGGAACGGATCAAAATTCACATGTTCGCCAATTTCTGTTTGACCAATCGCTGGCACAGGGTTGTTCATCGATCCCTCGGGTGATGTCGTGTGTGGTCGCTGGTTGCCGTCGGGTATTTCAGAATGCTGCTTTATAACCTGCTCCTGATATCCTTAATTTGTTGTTGGCGGCTACATGTTGTCTCGTAACTGCTCCAACTCGTGTTGCTGTGCGGATATCTTTGATCCTGCTTGAGCCCTCTGAGCTACCAGGTGCGCCAACTCTTGTTGAAATATTTCGTGGGTGAGTCATTCCTCATCAAGCGATGCCGCCCTTGATTCAGCATGTGTGATCTCAAACGACGACAGCTCCACCATTTCCTGGAAATTTGGGCGTCTTCCGGCACGCTGGCGATGGGAACACAGTCGTGGTTGTAGGTAATTGTTAGATTAAATTAGCAGGACAGTTGATATGCAGTAAGCACATGACGTAAGCCTCCCTATGTGTCGGTCTTGCAGCAGAACTAGAACGCAATGTTGATATTCCATACAGTGTTCCCCCGGGTATATGCCCCACCGTTTATTTCGGATTATGGTGCGTTTATCCGGGCAGGGTGCCATATCATTTAAATCACATTAAACATGCCCCTTTTTTAAGATTCCATTACCATACACGCACCCCCCTGTTTTTAGGGTTTAGGTTGCACTGAACTGTGTAATTATCCTAAATACATAGACCTAGGTATCAGAGGTTATAAGCTACAAGAATCACTGCTCCTCGTCATGCCACTCTATGGCCAGTTGTCCACCACACTAAGTCGACTATAAGCACTACCAAATCCATGTTCTCTGCTAGATCCTGGCCCGGATCTCATCCTCAGTATCCTATCTAGACTCAAACAAGCCACCTCAGCATGTGTTCTACTCATCCTCCACAGCAGCAGATGGCGCCTCATCCATATACCTGGGAGCAGTGGAGTTATCAGTCGCATATCTGTCTGCTCCGAGGTCGTCCGATACGTCGAGTGTAGGCTCCTTCTCGTCTCGCATGTGCTTCAGGCAGAGGTCGTCCTCACTCCCATCCAGGGCGTTGGAGATTCCGCGTGTCTTGAATGCTCTGTGGATGAGGCGTGCAGGAATAGCCCTCCAAGCCTTAGCAATCTACTTCAAGGTTTGCTCCGAAGGCGGCTTCTTCAAGTTGCCTGCGTAACAGGAACAAGGAGAATTTGTTAGAACATATGGTTGGGGTAGAATGGGAGCAATGTAGAACACAACCTACCTTTCTTCGTAAAGATACTGCAACCCTCAGCATCGAACCATTCCTGGTATTCATACCGCATGAGGGCCTTGAATGCTTTGTTGACGTACACATCTAGGGGCTGGATGACCGAAGTGCCGGCGACAGGGATGATGCCGGGCACGATGTGTAGATCCTTGTACGCTTCCTTGATGCCCGGGCAGAGGTGGCCATGGTAAGAATCGAGTATGAGGAGTGCACAACGGGCTCTCAGCCCGAAGGTCGGCTTGATGAAATGCTTGATGGCGCGGTTCAGCCAGTCCTTGACGCCATCGCTGCCCATCCAACCATTCTGTTGGGCGTCAACAACGACATCTGCACGCATCGGCATATAACAAACAAGAGATGTTTAAAGTGCGCGACTACACTAACTTCAAGGTTCAAAGTACCTTGAACCTGCCAAGGGCGAAACCAACCAGCCGAGTCCGAAAACACCTGGCGCGGTTCAAGGTACTTTGAACGTTGAAGTTATTGTAGTCGCGCGCTTTAACCAGCATAGGGCAGAAGGAATACCGAGAGTATATATGCGGGAAATGTTAACACACGATGGAATAAAGCAGACTGAATACATATTGGGGGCGAAATTTCCCTTCGGGACGGTTGCCCGCTTGAAAAACACCCAAGGCTTGAGCTTCGCGTCGGTGGCGGTACATGCAACCATGACCGTAACCCGCTCTTTCTGGTATCCGGCCGTTTTGATAGGGACGGACCTCGTGCCGACTTGGTCGATGGTTCTCTCTGCCGGCATCTCCAGCCAAAGCGGGGTTTGATCGGCATTGATGATTCACCTCTCCTCGATGCCGTACGCCCGCCTCGAATCCCCCACAAGCTGCCAGAAGGTCTCGACCTGCTCCTTGCAATTTGGAGGAAGTAGGGTAGGGGAGCAAGTAGAGAAGCAAGCTCAAAAGAGATAATCATGAGATTCTATGCATGGGACTATGTGAGATTCCAAAGCATGGAACTATACGAGATTTCAGAGTGGAAGCGACAAGGGATAATCTTACCGTCAGCCATTTTCTGGCCAATCTTTGTTCTAGCACGAACGGAAAGTCCCCAGCGGGTGCGGAACCGATCCGACCATCTGTAGGAAGCCTGCCACTTGACCTCACGATGGAGAGTGCGCATCAACTCGCGTGACCACTTTTGAAGCCGACTTACAGACACCGGTGTTCCTTGCCCGTGCTCCTCCAGCACCTTTTGATACTGTTTTTCTTCAATGTCGTGGTACCACGATGATTGCCCGTGGCCGTGAAGACGCTTGCGGCAGCCAACAGCTGCCATGAGATCCTCTTTCTGCGTCTCCCATTCACAAAGACACCGCCATGAGATGCCAGATTCGCGGGAGACGGCATGCTTCACCTTCACCTCCTCGAGCCGCCTTACCCAGTGGAGATTCTCCTCTGCTGTGTACGACCGGCACTTACGCTGAGTCATGCGATGTCTGGGGGACGGGGGTCGGGCGTCGTGTTTCACAGTTGTTGGATGAAGACGGCTTCGGCCTTCTGGAAACGAGGGGATGGGAAGCTTCTCTGGAAGGCCGTCTCGCGACTAGTATTCCTCCTCGCCGGTTGCCTCGTCGTCATACTCTGGCCAATCGTCGCCATTTGGTATGCCCCAATCAGGTACTGCGCCAGGTTCCTTGTCACCGTCATCCCTTGCAGCAGCTTCATCTGCAGAAGAATCTGCGCCACTATCATCAGCCAACTCAACGTCACACCGCTCTGCCTCGGGAGATAAAGGATTGCCTGGGAGGAGAAGGTTGAGCATGTGGATGCTGTGCAAGGATGTGACAGGAAGAGGCGAAGGCGGAGCAGGAGGGGCAGGTGGCACTGGGGGAGCAGGAAGGGCCGGAAGAGTGGGCGGGGCAGGAGGAGTAGGAGGCGCCAGCGGAGCACCCCCTAGAGCAGTAAAGCGTGCGACTCTCGCTACAGCAACATCCCTTCTAGATAAGCGAGTAGGAACGCCTGGGCAACCGAATAAAACTGAGATACCAGTGGGAGGAAGGCCAGCCATGGCGGCGGGCCACTAGGAAACATGAGCCTCATAAGGCTTCGAAACAAGTTTGAAATACTCACGAAATGAGCTTGGTCGAAGGAGCACCCCACCGTCGACAGCCGACCCAACTTCCTCTGCGAGTGCAGCCCTGCAGAGGAATCATTTGCAAGGCTGGAAAATGCAGCGATCCGGGGCTGCTGTGTTGTCCCTTTTCCATGCATAATAGTCCTTGGACCACGCACTGCTACCTGGGTGGCACGTGCAGGGGATGTGGACATTGCCCGCAAGGCAGCGTTATCATAGCCCTGCTGGAACAGAATTGCAAAGTTGCCCCCGAACAACATTGTGATTAGCCAGATTTGCAGCTATGCTGCACCACTTGCAGAACCCATGCTTCTAGATGCCATTCCGTGCGAATATTCAATCCGGCTCCAGTTGTAAACTATTCCATTGTGGTGTAAACTTGACAAGCTACATTTCTACTGCACATTCTTTTTTTTTCTTTATAAATTTATTTGAAACGCACTGTACCATATTACAAAAATCACATTAAACGCACCTACCAGATTTTAGACCGTTTTCCTAGAAGCCTATGTGTCCTTATATCCGGGGGAATACCATAGCTCTGATGGATGGCCAGGTTTTGTTGTGATAAAATCGTACTTAAGCATTTGTGTAAGTAGTTCCGATAGATATTGTCGAGTTACACTGTAGTTAGCATCCGTAGAATGACGTCTGCAAATAGCGCTTGTCTGGATGATTACGTCAGCAAGCCGTTCAGTCACGCGAACAGTCGCGCTCTTTTTAGTAGCTGTTAGAGCGCATAGCACAAATAGTTTTGAACAGGTACATTACCGAATAGGTACTTCTAGCAGATATAAAAGTAGTTTGTACAACTTCAGTTATTAACTTGTTCTTGAGTAAATGCTGGTCAACACTTACAAGTTCTAAGACTTCCGCTGTCTTACTAGTCTACCATTCCAGCAAAGATCCTTGTTCAAGTCTTGAAGTATCACAAGGCTGTAACACTGACTCTGGTGTTACAACTTGTTAATACTAGCTGTTACTGGAGGTACTACTAGTATTACTTTCTACTTCAAGTACTTGTGTCTGCAGATTCTATACTTAGTCTCCTGCACCACCTTTCAAATTCTTTCATGGTATGAGAGCTGTTTGGAATTAAGACAGTCATCGATCATGACTGGACCATCGTCAACTCCATCATCCAGTTCTTCAACAACTAGACCTACGGGTATTACAAATCCTACAATCATCACAGGTCAAGGAGGTAACTCTGCAGCCGGAAAATCTCCACCTGCATATTCTTCAATCGGGATGCCTCAACAACAGCAAGTTTTGCCGATCGTGCATCCATCGGGGACTTCGTCCTCTGTACCTGCAACATCACAGCAACAAGCAGCAGCATCAATATCAGCAGCCTTTAGTGGTATGAGTATCAATGGCTCCAGCTATGCAAGAGCTGCAGCCGCTCCAAGCTCCAGTTCTTCGTTCGCGTTTTCACCTGCTCAACATCAACAGTTCCAATTTCTGCAACAGCAGCAACAAGCGCAACAACAGCTTCATCAACAGCACCAAAATCAACAGCAACAACAGCAACAGCAACAACAGTTTTTGCAGCAGCAGATTTCTTTTACTGGACCTGGTTTTTTAGGCCCCAAACCTTTTAGGCAATACGCAGATCAAGACAACTATACCTTTTAATGGCGCTGACTTTTACTCCTGGAGTTTCGAGTTCGAGCTCCTCACGAAATCCGCTGGATTATGGCCGTTCTTCAGTGGCGATTACTCGTATCCTGTTACGCGAACACAGATGGAACAGCAGAGTTTTCTTCATGCTTCACTCAGCGCTTACACAGTTCTTATCCGCAATCTGTTGCTGAAAGAGCAGCTTGGTATACGCTTGCTTCACACCAGCTTGACTCCAGCTGAATCTGCGTGGAAACATTTGAAGGGGTTGTATATGGCACAAGACACAATTTACATGAGTAAAATTCTCTCACAACTGACAACTGTACAGATGCAGGGCAACGAGAACGTTTCGAATTATATCAACAGGGCTCGAACACTTCGTGACCAACTTGAAAAATGCGGCCGATACTTCCCAAAGGACATGTTTGTAACAGTTCTTCTTGCCGGCCTTGGAGCATAATGGCAGCAGTGTCGATCTCTTCTTCGCATTCAACCAAATCTTTCCGAAGCCGAAATTTGTTCGATTCTTCAAGCTGAGCAGTAGGACCTTGACCTGCAAACAGCACGTAACAAAAAGGGAGCAGTTAATATCTACTCCTATGCAACGCCTACTCAACGTGTCAACAAGTTCTTCTGTCACTACTGCAAGAAGGATGGAGACAACATCAAATATTGCAACAAGCTTCAAGCTGATAAGAAAACGGGAGTGCAGCAGTATTCGCAGCAGCTCAAGCAACCCGTAAAGTAGAATCCACCAACAACAACTCCTGCCATATCTGGAAAACAAGTCTTCAGTTCTGTTACAACAGTTCATGCAACAGATTCAGATTTCGAAGATGAGGAGGAAGAGAGTTCCATCAAACAACCTGAGAACATGATCTTACCTCAAGTATATGCTAGTCTCGCTTGGGTTATCGCAGGACCAAACACTTGGTATCTTGACAGTTGTTGTGGACATCACATGTGCTCTGCCGAGACGCTCTTCATTACTCATCAGCGTCCTCTTCGACGTCTAGTATCTGTCATAGTTGCAAATGGACAAACAATCATGGCAAGGTCAATCGGCAGCGTCATGCTAGATTCTGTTGACAACGGCTTTTCCTTACACGTCACGAATGTCCTTATCATCGCTGGACTTGGCTTTAATCTTCTTTCAACGGCTCAACTCCTGCGACATAAGATCTGGACGCAAGGCAATTGTGAGACCATGGACTAGGAACTTTATCACAATGATACCAATACTTACATCGGGAGAGCCGCCACTCAGTATGGGGTCTCCTTTCTTCAATTCGAGTCGCAAGGCACTTCTAGAGACTCTTACAGAGTGTTATCTCTTGGGCCTTGGCTTAGTCCCGAAGAAACTGATTTTCAGAAAGTCGATATAGACTTTTGTGCAACTGCAGTTCCAATAGGATCACGTACAGCCGCAGCAGTTATAACGACTCTTGATTCCTAGCCAACAAACACAGCCGAAGATGATACATCAGTGTGGCGGAACTATTACGACACTTTACAACAACTTGAAAACAAACCTGCAGTACCTTGGGGGCCCAGCAGCAGCAGTGAAGCAGAGGAAGCCGAGCAGCAGAGTAGCAGTGAAACAGACACAAGGGTTCTCGTCGGTCAACCTTCAACAGATTCAACAGAAACGGAAATCAAAGAAGGAGAATTACTTCTGCAACCAGAAGAAGTTCTTGATGTGAAACTTAAAACCACTAAGTTACCTCTTACCCGCTTCGTTCCAGGACAACTCGACGAATCACCCGCGTTTTCTCCTTCTATCGTTTCTTCATTTTATACTAACGCCGATATTTATCTGCGATCAACAGGACACAAAGCAACAGAGGATATTTGGCATCAAAGGTTATGACATCCTTCCGGAGGAATTATTAATCATACTTTAAGATCTTCAGTTCTTGACAAGAACAGTTTACTCTTACCGGATGGAACTGAGATGAAATTGCCTTCAAGACCAACAGTCTGCACCACGTGCACAACTGCTAATCTTCCTCACGAACCCTTTCCAAGTCACTTTCCAGGATCAACTCGATACACACTTATGGAGAAAGTTTACAGCGACATCCTCAACTTACCTGAAGCAGGACCTAAGGGGGAGCTCTATATGATCTCTTTTATCGAGGCTTCTACTCGATATGTTTGGACGGCAAATATTCCGGCTCGTCATATGGCTCACTCTATCTTCGTCGCATGGCTCGCGGTGGCTGAAAGAGAATCGGGGGAGAAGCTCCAACAATTTCAGAGTGACGGAGCAGGGGAGTACACGAACACCAACTTCACTGACTATCTTCAAACCCTAGGCATCAAGCTTAGAGGGTCTCTGCAATATCAACATCAACAGATGGGGGTAGCGGAGCGGATGAACAGGACATTGCAAGAAAAAATGCGAGTCTTGTTGACTCAGGCAGCATTGCCACCACATTTTTGGACTTACGCTTTGGACCATGCAGTTTTTCTGCACAACTTGCTGTCGACAACTTCACTTCCACAATTTTCTTCGCCACACCTGCAGTGGACAAAAACAGTCGGCAACACCAAACTTTTAAGAGTTTTCGGGTGTCTCGTTCAATACCGACCTCCGACTGTAGCACTTGGAATTTTTTCAGAACAGGCTAAGTGGGGAATACATCTTGGCATCGAGAAGCAGTTTTATGCGTGGAAAATTATGGATCTTCGCACGAGTCAAATCGTATTAGCACGTGATTGTCTTTTCTACGAACGACTCACCTTACCTGTTTTTTGTGCTCACCATGCTGCAGCTGCCAATCCTGCCAGGCTGTTCGAAGGCTCGCGTGCTTTCGCTTCCGACGAGGCCGAAGCAGATGTACAGGATGAATCTGTCGCTGAGTCTTCCGAAGCTGCCACAGACATCCCCGTGCCAACCACGTCAGCTGGAACTGCCGAATTTATCCCACTCGGCGAAGCAGACTCTGAAGATGTTCGCGATTACGAACGTGATCATCAGCACCAGCCCATGCCGGTTGTCTCCGAAGCAGCAATCCGTGTAACACCTGAAGAAATTGGGGGGGAACAGGGGTCAGAGCACAACTTCTCCGGTGTCAACTCAAATCGTCCGCGTTTTACAGAAACTGGTTCACAAGTATTGGGATTTGCAGTCGCAGTACAAGGCGAGATGGGTCGTCCGCGGCTTCGAGCAAACTTTTGGACTCGACTACGAATTAACTTTCGTTCCCGTCGGCAGACACACTAGTGTCCGAAGTCTCCTCTCTATCGCGGCCTACCAGAATTTCAAACTTCGACAAATCGACATCGCCAATGCATTTTTATATGCACCCGTCGACGCCTTAATTCTGGTTGAGTACCCGCATTCTTACGAAACTAATCCTCCTCGCGTATGCCGTCTCAGAAAGTCTCTCTACGGCATCAAACAAGCTTCACAACTATGGCAGCAGTATCTACACTATCAGCTATTAACTGCCGGATTTCGTCAGCTTCCACACGACAAAGGAATGTATCTACTTACCGACGGTATTGACTACATTCTACACGTCGCTTACGTCGACGACTTACTTTACATCAACACCACCGATTCTCTCGCTACTGTCTTCGAACAGAAACTTAAACAGAATCTACAGATTACTATCACTCCTACAGTTACACAGTTTCTCGGCCTTAACATCCACCGAACAGCAACTGCTATTCATCTTACTGCTTCTAAGTACGCAGCTACGCTAGCCGGACATTTTAATCTCACAGCTTCAACTGTAATCACTCCTTACCAATCTCTATCGACAGACTACAAACCTGATATTACTCCACTCCATTACACTAAACTACAGCTTTATCAGCAACAACTGGGCTGTCTTCTATTCGCAGCTGTAACGTGACGTCTGGATCTCGCCTATGCCGCTAGCCAGCTCGCACAATTTCTGCGTCGACCTGAGGGGGAGAATCGGCTAGATCTTCTTCGCACTCTACAGTATTTTATTTCGACACCTGAATTCGGACTTACCTATCAAGTCACTACTACAAAAACTCTATATCTTAACGGGTACGTCGATGCTGATCATGCAGCAGATACTTCTAATCGTCGATCTCGCACCGGCTTCATCTATCGCCTCGAACCTATTGGGACTATCTCGTGGAATTCTACAAAGCAAGAGCTCATAGCTCTATCATCTGCTGAAGCCGAGTTTATAGCTGCCTGCACAGCTACTTGCGAAGGTCTCTATCTGCAATAACTACTGGAGGAAGCGAAATTGACGACAAGTACACAGTTCACTCTGCAGTGCGACAACCAAAGTGCAATCGGAATTGCTCACCAACCTGGTTTTGTCAATAGGACGAAACACATTTCGCTGCGGTACTTCTTCGTCAAAGATGAAGTCGAGAAAGGGAGAATGCGATTGGTCTACTGTTCGACCAATGAAATGGCTGCAAATTTTCTCACCAAGAAGCTGACACGTCAAAAGTTCCAGTACTGCAACGAACTCTGCTGAATTATCAAGAAGTGACACTGTCGGACTTCCAGAAATGAAGGGGAGTGTTGTGATAAAATCGTACTTAAGCATTTCTGTAAGTAGTTCCGATAGATATTGTCGAGTTACACTGTAGTTAGCATCCGTAGAATGACGTCTGCAAATAGCGCTCGTCTGTATGATTACGTCAACAGGCCGTTTCAGTTACGCGAACAGTCGCGCTCTTTTCAGTAGCGGTTAGAGCGCATAGCGCAAATAGTTTTGAACAGGTACATTACCGAAGAGGTACTTCTAGCAGATATAAAAGTAGTTTGTACAACTTCAATTATTAACTTGTTTTTGAGTAAATTCTGGTCAACACTTACAAGTTCTAAGACTTTCGCTGTCTTACTAGTCTACCATTCCAGCAAAGATCCTTGTTTAAGTCTTGAAGTATCACAAGGCTGTAACACTGACTCTGGTGTTACAACTTGTTAATACTGGCTGTTACTGGAGGTACTACCAGTATTACTTTCTATTGTGAAAGCTTGCTTAGGTCCTCTTGTAAAGGCAGCGTGCTTCATTTCATCTGGGAAACATATATGGTTCTCGTCCAACAAAGAACTACACACAAGAGGGTGGGTGGGCGGGGAAATTGAACTAGAGAAACTAGAAATGAAGAACGTGGGTGAGGCCGAATGGCCTCACGTCCCTCTTTTGTAGGCAAAAGAGGGTGAGTAGCGCTTCGTCGCTGCCTTTGCTGCGTTGGCCCTCGCTACACTCTCACAATACACATTTTTAGAATGTGTTACACACTTTAAAAAAATTACATCAAGTACTTGTGTCTGCAGATTCTATTCTTAGTCTCCTGTGTTGGAAATATCTCAAGGACTTAAGCGTTTCTGAAGTGTAACACTGTACTCGAGGAAGACTACAGGGGAGCACGCGAGTCAACGGAGGTTACACGAGGGGGCGGACAAAGAATGCGAAAGGACTCGAAAGGTCGCAACTGGAGGTTGCGACTGACCGTTACAACATCACGGATGGTAACCGAAGCGGCAATCGAGTCGCTGTGCGACTCGATAAACCGTTCCTGTAACTGTATTCTACAACTGCTTTCTTATCTACTATATATTGCTGTATGCTTGTTTCTTTAATCAATCACTTGTTCTCACATACTAGTACAAGGGTTCAACTGCCTCAACTTCCGCTGCACTACTCCAAGTCTCAAGTCTCTACAAGCTGGGACTTAGTCTCTGCAAAAGATCCTAAGGGCTTTTCTCAGCCCAACATGGTATCAGAGCTGGTCAGAGACCAAACTCCCAGCAACTACGTCCTATCAACAACCTGCAACTCAACTCAATTCAACGACTTCATTGATTACAAGACATGGACAACAAGGGCAAGAAAGTCTCTACGGGCTCACCCAGCGCCCAAGAAACTCAACACGGCAACTCTGGTCTGCACACCTCAGGACTGCAGACAGAGACCGGGACTGCTCAAGAAACAACGGGAAGAGTACCAGAGATAGTGACCCCGTCTCCCTCTTCAAGTGTGGACCCGAATCTCATGGAGAGATTCTTCAGCTTCATGTCACACTTCGATCAGCAGCAGCAGACAAGGACACCTGCGCACTCAACACAGAGCAATGGAGGGAATATGGGATTAGCGCCGATGAGCCTCGACAACTCATCCTTCGGGCGACACAATCAAGCGCCTACCTTTGCGCCTTATCATTCTTCGCCGGGGACGTTCGAATTCATGCCGCCCCGTGCCCAGCCAACAGCAGCTGCTTCACAACAAACACCGAATGAAATCTTAAGTTTACAGGCGCAGTTCTCACACGTGATCAAACTTCAGACATCCTCACCGTTCAACGGACACGACTTCTTTACCTGGAGCTTCGAGTTCGAGCTGCTGATGGAGGCCGCGCATCTTCTGGGATACTTCAACGGGTCCCTGCCATTCCCAAGCAACGGCACTGGGAAGGAACAAGAGATCTTCACGTATCAGTCGCTGCTGGCGTACACGGTACTCCTGAGAAACCTGTCACCACAAGAGCAGCAGAGCATCAGAACGTATCGGAGTTATGGAAACTCCGCGGAGCTCGCATGGCACCACCTCAAATGCCTTTACCAAGCAAACGACAGCGTGACACAAAGCAGACTCATGCAACAGCTGACAACAATACAGATGAAGACCGGGGAAAAGGCGATGCAGTATATGAGTCGCTGCCAGACCCTCCGCGACCGCCTGCTTCGGTGCGGAGGAACGATCACTGAAGAAAGCTTCGTGACACTTGTCCTCGCCGGGCTCGGGCCAGAATGGAGAACCACACGATCACTTCTTCGAGCCCACGGAAGAATTTCGGAGATGCACCTCTGCGCCGAGCTTCACGCTGAACAACAGGAGATGGATCTGTTCGAGGAAAGACAACCAAGGAAGCAACAGCAGTTAGTCTTCTACACTCAAAGAAGAAATGACAACAACTACAACCGACGCAGCAAGCAAGATCAACGTGACAACCGAGGACTCACCATCGTGCCGCCGTTCTGCCACAACTGTCAGACTTCCGGGCACTCCAAGGTCAACTGCAACCGCCCTCGCGTTTACCGTGCAGCAGACCCACAAGTCGCTTCCACTCAAGCAAGTCCTCCAAGGCGCTCTTCAACATCTGCACAACAAACACCCAACATCATCAACTGCATGGTACACATCGACAACTGCGCACCCGCTTCACCACCCACTTACGCACCAGACGAAGAGGAATTCCCGCCGCCGCGCTCGCAAGGACTTCAGGTCAACCCGACATACGCTGCAGTCGCTAACGCCGAACCCACCGGGCGGAACACCTGGTTCTTGGACAGTTGCTGCGGTCAGCACATGTGCTCCTCCGGACGCTTCGTACAACACGAGCGACGCCTCAACCGTGACGTCGTCATCACCGTCGCCAACAACGAAAACCTGAAAACAAATAGACAAGGCGTGGTTCAGTTACAATCAATGGAGACAAACGTTATTCTTCAGCTCAACAAGGTCCTCATCGTCGACAATCTGGGATACAACCTATTAAGCGTAAGCCAACTAATGGCTAAGGGGATTCACCTGGAGTGCGACTCCTTCTCCAACGAGTTCCGACTTTACCACGGGAAGGGCGGTCTCTTCATCGGTCGTGCCCTCCTGAAGTCCGGTGTCTTCGTGTTGGACTTCGTCCCCGACCGCGGAACTGCCGACAGCGACGGTATCGTATCCTTCGCCGCCTGGACTCATCCGCCAGATCTTGATCCCGACTTCGACAGCGACGGCTTCTGGCACTCCAACACCATACCTGCAGCAGAAAGAACACGAGCATTAGCAGTTATCAGACAAGAAAGACAAGTACCCGCATGTGTCCCAACAAAACCATCACCTGCAGTATCGGCAGCAGGACCCAGCCGAGTACCACCACCAGCGACACGAGGACAGCCAACCGAAGCAGACCAACTTATGCCCGCCACACGAGAAGCTTGTCGAAGTCCCGCCTCGGTCGTCGCGTTCTTCTCCAACGCCGACATCTACCACCGCTCGCCCGGTCACCGCGCTCCCGACGACATCTGGCACCAACGTCTCGGACATCCTGCAAACAGCACGATACTTCAAACAATCCAAGCAGAAGTGTTAGAACGCAACGCCCTTCTGACGACGAGCGGCCAGGAACTCCGACGACCACGCGCACGGTGTTTCACATGCCCCGAAGCAGATCTTCCTCATCAACCTTTCCCAGCCCATCACAATCCAAGCGCACCCACTTACGCTCCGATGGAAAAGGTCTACAGCGATATTCTAAACATGCCTCGAGACGACACCGAAGCCGACTTCAACTACGTCATCACGTTCATCGACGCCGCAACCAGATACGTCTGGCACTTCAATCTCAAAACGCGCGATCAAGCCTTCGAGGCATTCACCACATGGCTTCCAATCGCCGAACGAGAGTCAGGAACCAAACTCAAGAGTTTCCAGTCAGACGGTGCACTGGAATACCAGTCACAACGCTTCAGGACCTATCTCGCGGAAAGGGGAATCCGACGCCTGGTGTCTCTGCCCTATGCTCACCAGCAGCAGGGGGTAGCAGAACGCATGAACCGGACCTTGCAGACGACGATGCGAAAACTGCTTCTGGGGATGAGGCTGCCCAACGCACTGTGGCCAGACGCGATGACACATGCAGTCCACCTGCACAACCTGTTGTCCTCGTCATCGCTCCCCATAAACGCATCACCACACCTGCTGTGGACGGGAAAAAGGGGCAGCACAAAATTACTTCGAGTTTTCGGCTGCATGGTACAATACAGACCCCACACAGCTCGAGCAGGACGCTTCACTCAACGAGCTCGGTGGGGACTACACCTCGGCATCGCCAAACATTTTCACGCGTGGAAGATCCTCGACATACAAGACAAAAATACGGTGGCATCACGTGATGTTATCTTCTACGAGCGACTGACGCTGCAGCATTACCTGGACAACATTGCCAACTCAGACGACCCCACCGACGGCTTCGCGGGCCTTCGCTCCTTCGCTGACCATGCTGCCGAGGCTGACGCAGCAGAAGAAGACGTACCTGGAGCCTCGGAAGCTGCCGGGCCACTCCCATTCTGTTCCATACCTGTTCCACTCGATGAAGATAATCCCCTCGATAGCAACAACCTCGACACCTTTTACCACTTCGCCGACCAAGGTTACGCTACATCGCACCCCGTCGACACGAATATTTCGGAACGCATCGGCCCCAATTTCTTACCTGACCCCGAAGACGGTGACGAAGCAGCTTATTCGGGGAATGACAATTCCCCTCGACACACACCCACGGGACTCCAGATTCTAGGCCTCTGGGTCTCCGTCCAGCATCCGCCGCCGCCTTCTACGCGTGAGCCTTCAACCTTGTCGCAGGCTCTGGGGGGGGAACATAAGGCAAAATGGAAAGAAGCGATGGAAAAGGAGTTAAAAGCTCTGCAAGACCGAGAAACATGGAAACTGGTACCTGCAACGAGCATCAACGGGAAGAACGTTCTCTCGGGGAAATGGGTGTACCGCATCAAGACCAACTCAGACGGCTCCATCGAACGATTCAAAGCTCGATGGGTCGTACGAGGCTTCGATCAACGATACGGAACCGACTACACAGAAACCTTCGCCCCAGTCTCCCGTCACACCTCATTACGCATCCTACTCGCCGTCGCGGCCACAAAAACACTACCACTACGCCAAATCGATGTCGCGAATGCGTTCCTATACGCACCTGTGGACGCTGAGATCTTCGTCGAACAACCCCACGGATTCATCGACGACCCCACGAAAATATGCCGACTGACAAAATCCCTATACGGGATCAAGCAAGCCCCGCGGCTCTGGCAGCAGCATCTTCACAGCCGTCTCGTAAAAATCGGCTTCCTACAGCTGCCGCATGACCAAGGGATGTACCGACTGCAGAAGGGAAGAGAGTATGTTCTGCTCATCGTCTACGTCGACGACCTGCTCTACATCGGCTCAACTACCGACATCGCCACCTGGTTCGAAGGGGAGCTGAAAGAAGATTTAACTCTCACGGTGTCCGACGAAGTTACGCAGTACCTAGGACTGAACGTCGTCGAAGACGACACGGCGTTCTACCTACACGCTGGAAAGTACTCAAGCACCGTCGCGAAGAAATTCGCTCTAACACCAACTGCGGTCCCAACTCCCTACCGCTACGGGAACAACGGCAGCGCCTCTACAAAACTCCCCGCGAAACAAATCCAGGAGTATCAACAGAAGCTCGGCTGCCTACTATTCGCAGCAGTAACCTGCCGACCCGACCTATCCTATAGTGCGAGTCAGCTGGCGACACATCTGAAGCATCCGCAACAGGAAGATCTCGAAGAACTCAATCGAGCGCTACTCTACTTCGTCTCCACGCCGACGATCGGGCTTACCTACAGCAAGGCAACAACACCGTCCGTACGACTACTCGGATACGTCGACGCCGACCACGCGGGAGACAGCGAAAATCGACGGTCTAGGACGGGCTACATCTACCGACTAGAACCTATCGGAACTATCTCCTGGCAGTCGAGCAAGCAGGAGTTAATCGCACTATCCTCGGCTGAAGCAGAGTATATCGCCCTTTGTACTGCGACCAAGGAAGGACTCTACCTACGAGAGTTACTCGAAGAAGCGAAGATCGCGACCCTGCCCGCCTTCTCACTCCTCTGCGACAACCAATCTGCGATCAAAATCGCGAACAAGGACGGCTTCGCCAATCGAACCAAGCACATCGCCCTGCGGTACTTCTTCGTCAAGGATGAAATCGCGAAGGGGAGACTTCAACTCAGTTACTGCCCGACGACAGAAATGGCCGCAGATTATCTGACGAAGAAATTGGCGAAAGCAAAATTCGACTACTGCATGCTCCTAACCGGGCAAACAAACGCCACCAGATCTGAACACTCCAGCACTCCAGAAACGAAGGGGAGTGTTGGAAATATCTCAAGGACTTAAGCGTTTCTGAAGTGTAACACTGTACTCGAGGAAGACTACAGGGGAGCACGCGAGTCAACGGAGGTTACACGAGGGGGCGGACAAAGAATGCGAAAGGACTCGAAAGGTCGCAACTGGAGGTTGCGACTGACCGTTACAACATCACGGATGGTAACCGAAGCGGCAATCGAGTCGCTGTGCGACTCGATAAACCGTTCCTGTAACTGTATTCTACAACTGCTTTCTTATCTACTATATATTGCTGTATGCTTGTTTCTTTAATCAATCACTTGTTCTCACATACTAGTACAAGGGTTCAACTGCCTCAACTTCCGCTGCACTACTCCAAGTCTCAAGTCTCTACAAGCTGGGACTTAGTCTCTGCAAAAGATCCTAAGGGCTTTTCTCAGCCCAACATCCTGCACCACCTTTCAAATTCTTTCCGGTTTAACGAGGCGTAAACAACAAATGTAGAATATTGGTAGTAGCGAGGAAACAATACAATGAGGCAACATCAAAACAACCGAGGGCTTGAATATAGTTAGGCTTGGAGCACACGGTCGAGGCTCGGCAGAGCTGAGTGGTTTGTAAATTGGCGTGGAGCGCACACATTCAGGCATGATACTGTAAGGCAGGATAGGGATAGGGAAATACTATTTACTTAAACGGGTATATCCCCATGTGGGGTCTGGCGGCTAAGGGCGTGCTACTTCAGGAAAAACAGGGCTGCGCAACTTGGCCGATCTGTGCAACGCGCGACAGTAACTACCTTCGTGAACTGTCGCAAAAAAGGTTAAATAAGGCGAATACTTAGGTGAGCAGCTCGGGTTGCGGAACTTGGCTAAAAATCGCCACATTGCGCGACGCCACTCGCGAAACCAGCAAATCGAAATGCGAAAATTGAAATGGACAAACAAGCTGGCAGAACTTCGCCAGACAACGCAACTTTCGCGAGAAAAATCCCAATTGCGTTCTGGTGACGAGGATGTTCGGATTTCGCTCCAGGAATCTGGTAACAAGGTTTTTTTCGTTTCGTGTCGCGAATTGCGCTTCCTGCTGCTGTTTTGCCAAAAGTACTGCGCCCTAATTGTTTTGCCCTGTTCTTCTGCCGAAGAGAAGATTGTTGTACGAGCTTCTCCCTTCTCGGCTCCCCAACTCCTTTTCAACAGTTATCTCGTGCTTCCCCACAAGGGAGTCAGGCGCCTGACGACGCTGACTGTGTCGAGAGCCCAACTACCCAGCAGCCACCGCGTTCCCCATCAGCGTGCGTTCCCTCTCAGGTGCTCTGCTCACTGTCCCCTCCGCCTCCGCTTCCGCTCCGCCCATGAGCAAGCGCCAGCAGAAGCGGCAGCGCCACGAGCAGAAGAGCCAACTCCGCCGAAAGCAGCTCACAGCGGCGCTGCACGCCAAGCGCATCGCGAGTGGGGGGGGGTTCGGTGGCGCGGGGAAGTCTCAGCGGAAGAGCGGGTCAGGATTGGTGCAGGCGAGAGGCGGTGGGGGCTGCAAGCGGCGAGCAGCGGAGAAAGGCGGGGCGGGGAAGCGAAAGGAGGCGAGAGGAATTGAGAGGGCGAGAAGAAGCGATGGCGTGCCGGGAGCGGAGGGCAGGGAAGACGGCGCGGAGCGGCAAGAGAGGTGAGGTGGTGGTCGGTGAGGGTTTGGGGTTGAGCGAAAGCACGGTCGAGCGTTGACGTGCAATCGAGAGCACGCGCCCTCCTCCCATGCTCCCCTGCGCCCTGCCCGTCTTCTCAGTGCCTCGCCCATCCGCCATCCCTGCCTCCTCCTACGCCCGCCGCCCCTTACCCACAATCGTCCGCTGCCTTTGCTTTCCCAAACCCCCTCCCGCCCGTGTCAGCTCGGGCGGAAGCCCAGTGAGGGGGGAGGAGACTGCGCGGAGGGCGGATGGAGGTGAGGGGTCTGGGAATGGCGGGGCGGATGCCGCAGTGATGGAGTCGGGGCGAGGGGGTGCGGGAGGGGTTATGGGGGAGGGGCTCCAAGGGAGCGACCATGGTGCGGGCTGCGGGCGAGTGGAAGAAGAACGGAGAGGAGGGGGGGAGGAAGCAGGCGCAGAGGGCAAGGATGAGGGCAGGCCTGTGGGAGTGGGGGGGAGCGAGGAAAGAATTGGGGGGGAGGAGGGTGAGGAAGCAGAAGAGGAAGAAGGGGAAGAAGAGGATGAGGAGGGGGAGGATGATGTCTATGAGGAGGAGGGGGAGGAGGAGCACGTGGCTAGGAGAGCCAAGGTGGGAAGAGGCAAGAAAAGAGGAGGGGGGGAAGAAACGTCTGGCCTCAGAGGCTTCCACCCGTCGCAGGTACTCTTGCTGCCGTCAAGGGGGGAATAGCATTAGGCGGGGCAAGTGGGGCAGTGGGGAAAGGGCCCAAGGTACTGTGGTGTGACGGTCGGCACGGTGCAAAGGCGGGCTGACGGCCCTTCCAGGCACTTGCCATGCGCGTGTGACCACCCAAGGGTGCAGCAGCAGAGCCTAGTGGCGCTGGCAGGGCGCATAGGGCTGTAGGCGCAGAGCGGGGTCCAGTGCAAGGGCGCCTGAGCTGGAACACACAATGTGCAGTCTTGGCCTAAAGTGCGGGGTAGGGTTGGTAGGCCAAGGCGATAGTGGAAAGTACATTGTGCGTGGCTCACATACATTGGCGGGGTTGGGTACTGAGGACTTGGCCTTCTTCAGCGCTCCTCTTGCTGCTGTCGTGCAACTCTCTCTCAGCCGGTTGTGAATAACCCCCCCACCCCCCCTCCCCCCCCCCCCCCCCCCCCCCCCTCTCTCTCTCTCTCTCTCTCTCTCTCTCTCTCTCTCTCTCTCTCTCTCTCTCTCTCTCTCTCTCTCAAGCGGTCCGTTGCATTCATTAGGAACCTGTGTACAGAGCTAGGCAAATGGGTCAGGGACGGGCATGCAACCTAACACCTCTCTCCCTCCCCCAGCTAGCCTACGTGGGCTTCCCCCGTGGATTCCAAAATGACGAAACAGTCCCCGAGGGACATGCCGTCGTCTGGCGCCCCGAGGACAGGCCTCTCGAGCGGGGCGGCTTCATTCACCTTGCCGAGGTATGAAAGGGCCTGTCCGCGCTGGAGGGTGACCGACCACCGCTGCCGAAACTGGTTGAGCAGCTTGGCAGCCTGGTACGAGGTCGGGTTCGCATTGAAGAGGCGGCGGGCGCCAGTATGGGCCAAAAGCTGTAGGAAAGCGGGCACCTCAGCACAGGGGCACCCGTAGGTCTCCACGGCGAGGGGCAAGAAACCGACGTACGGCGCGCGATTGCGGTAGTGGTCTATCTTCTTGTCTGCTTGCTCCCGCGCCATGTACCCCCTCCCTTTCCGTGCCAGGGGGTCGTGGCTGCTGATCGGATCGGTGACGGTGACGTCACAGATCCATACAGCACCCGAGTCTCGGTCTCGGTTTGCCAGGTCGGCAGTCTGATCGCCAATGGGGGTATAGGTGGCAGTTTCTTTCTCGACGATGAACTGTGCATCTCGTGCCATGCGGGTGCACTCGTCCCGACGAGCATTATGCGTATTAGTGCGCCCGTGCCCTGTCTCACAGCGGAGCAGGTGGTTCGGGAGACGCGGGTCAGGGATTTCCACCCGCTTGGCGCAATTGCAGACCCTTGGGACCGGGAGGGGGAGGCCCAGGCGGAAAGCGAGGGCGATCGCGAAGTGCGGGGGTGCGAGCCGGAGGGAGGGGAATAGGGGGATGGCTAGGAGCCAGTCCCCCGCGCCATACCCAGTGAGGGAGAAAAGGCGCTGTGTATGGCCACTGTTGGGGTTCAACGCCATGCTGCGGCTGGCCTCCACCTGGTCGGCATAGCGGGCTGCCTGGACCTCCAGAGACAGGCGGTGCTGCAAGGGTACATCAGACGCCTCGGCACGTTCGACGACTCCAGCGCCAGCAGGGCACGCCGGAGGCTGCCACGTCGCGCGAGACCTTCCGCACGGGATATTTTGCCGACGGTGTCTGGGGTGTGACGTGGCGGCGGGGGGTTGTGGATTGAACCGACTGCTGCCTGGTAAAGTTCCTGCCATTCGCCGCGCATGAACTGCTTCAAGCGATCCTCCACGTGGGTCCAGTTTGGTCGTTTCGGGGAGGCGAGGCGAAGTGTCAATCTTGGTGTCAGGAGAAAAAGGCGCCAACCGGCTAGCGAGGACCAATATTTGCCGAGGTGCAGCAGAGGCGTCAGTAACGCCAGAGCGAAGAGGGGGCGAAGTCTGGGGGGCAGTTTGCGGGATAACGGGGGTTGGCGACTGTCGCAAAGGGGGGACATGTCCCAGCTGGCTACCTCGGCGAATCTGGATTCGTCGAGTGCCAGTTCTTGTGGCGAATAGGTTCGCTGCGGTTGGCTGTGCGCTTCCAGTGCCCCACGGATATTTCGCCCTGGGTTTGGCGGACCTCCCTGAGATATGGAACCCCTATTCCCGCTCGTTCGTCTTTCAGATCTCCTTGTCCGCTCCTCAGTTTCTACGTCCTCCTCCGAGCCGTCAGTGGAGGATTCGGACTGTCCGTCGGGAATATAAGTCTGGTCCCTTTGATCTTCATCCTCAGTTCCTCCCCTCGTTTCCTGTTCCCTTAAAGCCCGCACAGCCGCCTGCTGGTAGCCATTGGCTGGTCCACCGTCGCTCAGCCGTCCCCTGCGCCCGCGGCCTCGTCTAGCCGCTCCGTGCGCCCGCTGCCCGCGTCCACGGGCCGCAGGAGACCTCCCCGCCGAGTCCCTCGCAGCCCGGCTCATCGCCCGAGTTCTGGGCGTCGAGTTGCGCGAGTCTTCCAATGCCGCGGCCGCACCTGTCACGAGCGGCGATGGAGCAGGCGCGAACCACCGCCCCTATTGTCCGCACGCGTCGTGAGCGATAGGCCGGCCCTGAGAGCTCAGGGGAGAGCGTCTCCCCACCCCAAGGTCCGGCGAAACGGCCAGCTGATCACTCGGACATGCGGTGGGAGCGCGGTCTCCTCGCCCCTGCAGCAGATCACCCTGTGTCGCCGGACCAGGCAGGGAGTCGCACAGCAACCCCACCGCGTTGCGAAAACCGTTCGAAAACCCCGCCGCCCGGCCGCAGCTCCGCTCCTCTAGCGTTGGCGCCACAGCGCCAGGCAGCGTCGCGTCCCCGGACGCCGATCCGGCAGCCGCAGTCGTTGCGGGGGGGGGAGCCCCTCCGACAGCGCACCGGTCGACAGGAGTCGCCTCGACGCCGCCCTCAAGCGACGGTAATCCCCTCACAGCCGCCTCGCCGCGCGGATAAGCGTGACCGCGTCGGGCAACGGCGGGGATGGCGTGGTGGGAAGGCCCATCGCGGGGCGAGCGGGGGCGGGGCCGCCGCCCTGCAGCAAACCCTTGCTCGGAATACTGCCGTGCTAGAGAGCTTATACGCCCACATGCAGGGGGGCTCCGGCAATGCGCCAGCCTGCTGCTGCCCCCCCTGCTGAAACACGCCTCCAACCTCCACCTGCGGCGCTGGCGGACCTGGCGCCATGTCCGACGGCATACCCCCAACCCCTCCTTGGCATTGCTCCGAATTTCCCTCTCCGGCCTCCGCCCCAGGCTCTGTCTCATCCCTAGTCCGCGTACCAGTTGCCGGCTCCGTCCGGGCGCCCCCCGTCTCTGTCCGAGCCAACCTTGTCATCCTGGCAACCGCCTCCGCTCCTGTCGTCCGCCCCACAATGGCTGGAGCCACAGAAGCCGCCCCTTCCGTCGATGTTCTCAGGCCCGGGTACCTATGGTCCGTTCGTCCGCCCGCGCCAACAGCTCCCCTCGCCGACTGGAGTTGAGGCGGGGGCAGCATTAGCGGAGATGGGGGGGGCAGAGTCCTCTGGTGAGGGCTCCCCTCCTGGTCATGGCTCCAGTGGCCCGCGGCGGACTGGCGGGGTGCGGATTCCGCCCAGGGTCCGGGTCGACCGTCTTCGGCGCGTGGAGAGGATGGTGGCGATTCCAGCCGCCATGCTCCGCCGCTTTGGGCACTTGGGGACAGCGACGGGGAAGGTGGCAGGGATGCTCGCCGTAGCGCACTCTGCACTGCGTGGCATGGGGAATCCGTGGACGCTTCCCCACATGTCCCTCCAGAACTGCTCAGACGCATCAGATGATCTGATGGTTCTCTTTGGGCGTGCGCTGCCAGCGCCCGCCCCGGGAAGCGGCATGGACCGCGGGGTTGTCGCCGCAATGAAAGCAGTTGCGGGGAGCCTACATTCGGCATCAACCGTAGATCATGTTGGCGCCTGCGTGTTAGTGCTGCGATGCGTGGAGCGGCTTCTGGCAGGTTTGCTGGCGACGGCAGGGGAGGAGGACGACCAGTGATCGGCACCCTCCGTTGATAGGTGCGTGGAGGCGACCCTCTGTCGAGCGTGAGGGCTCCGGTGAGCTGTATCAGGGACTCCATTGGGAGTTATTTGTTCGAGTGCCTTGCAGGTCCTATGCTAGAGTTGGGGGGACTCCATCCTGCATGCCTTGTACTGTCTGCGCTATACTAAACAGGGTTATGTGTGTCCTAGTGTCCCCGAGCATCCTACTGCTGCCCGGGCCACCTGTCGCAGGTAGGTTCAATGGTGGCTTCAAGTTCTCCCCAGGTAAGAGGTTCGTCTAGGGGGTGGTCGTGGCTGAAAGCTTGGCCTGTCACCTGGCCAATTTTCGCATGGAGGGTGATTGCCTGCTGCCGCTGGAGGGTGATTGACCACCTCTGGCGATAGCTGTGCAGTACCTTCTTTGCCACCGCCGACTTTTCGTCGGCCTGGTGGTTCCGGCGGGCTGAGAGGGCAGCCAGTACTCGGAGGAACTCGAGTGTGTCGGGGGAGCAGCAGCCGTATGTCTTAGTGGCGACTCCCAGCACCTTCACAAAGGTGAGTCGTTCGTCGTACAGGTCCCGCTTCTTGCCCTGCATCTCTGCCGCCATCCACCCCGTCCCCTTTCGTGCTGTTGGGTCGCGGGTTGAGATGGGGTCGGTGACTGTGACGTCACAGACCCGTACCGCGCCTGAGTCCGGGCATCGGAGGATGATGTCGGCGCGGCGTTGGGCAGTTTCGGGTAAGTAGAGCGTGGATTCCATATGGGCCACGAAGTGGGATTCTCGGGCCAGTCGCATCCCGAGGTTCACGAGTGCGTCGTGGGTCCGCTTTGGACCCCCGCCCAGGGTGCACCGTAGCATGTGGTTGGGCAGCCGGTTGTCTGGTATCGCATGCTTTTCCCGGCAGTTGCATTTGCCGGGTAGGGAGTGCTGCAGGCCCATGCGGAAGGCTAGGGCCGTGGCAAATTGCCCCTTGCTCATGCTAAGGTCCGGGGAGAAGGGGATGGCGACTAGTCAGTCCCCTGCCCCTGGCCCGAGCAGGGAGAGGAGGCGCTGGGTGTGGCCCAGGAGGGGGTTGAGTGGCATGTGTCTGGAGTCTGCCACTAGCCGTGCGTGCCTGGCCCCGCGTACCTCCAATGCTAGGGCATGCTGGAGCTTGGCGCCAGGCTCGTCGCGCGGGCGGGTGAGTGTGGACTGTGCTGGTTCGGGGAGTGCCGCTTCCAGGCAGTTGAGCAAGTGGTGTAGGGGCGTTTGGGCGGTGAAGGGTGGAGTGAGGAGGTGGAGGAGGTCGGCGAGGGGTGAGGAGTCAGGGGGTTCCATGGAGTGGAGGAGGTCACCGGCCTGTAGTGCGGAGGCCAGGTAGCTGTAGCTGCCTTCCGCGACGGGGTCAATGAGGCCGAGGCCTCCTATGGTGATCGGCAGGGTCGCCTGTCGCCAGAGGAGGTCTCGGCCTTCAGCGTCCCGTGGCTGCTGGAGCTCGCATGACTTGAGCGCAGCTTCCAGCAGGGACTTCCCCCACTGCGTCCATACCTAGGGGGGGAGGAGGTCGGTGGGGGTGGTGCGGAGGAGGTAGGATGCCCTCCTCGTGATGCAGCGGGTGAGGAGCAGCATCGCGACTTGCAGGTGCAGTTGCTCTACCAGGGGGAGCGCCGCTGCCGCTTTTTCGAGCGTGTGGCGGATGATGTCCCCGCATCCGTGGGTGGTGCCGATGGGGCTGCCCAGGACCTTGATGCGTCATGGGTGAGTGGTACTCCGGCGGGGATGAGCGCGGGGTCCACTGGTGCGGGTGACCAGGGTGCGCACTTGTTGGCGTTGCAGGTGAGTCTAACCGCTGCTGCCCGACCCGTGAGGGCATAGAAGGCGGCTGCGCAAGCCGGCGGCGGGCCGATGATGGTCACGTCGTCGGCGTATGCCAGTAGGAGGACGTCTGGGTACTCCTCTGCTGTCATGCTCAGCGCCTGGTGGAGGGCGAGGGCAAACAGCATGGGGCCCAGTGGATCGCCTTGGCGTACGCCCCGCTCGCTGATGAGCGGGTCAGCGCCGAATGCGTGGTCGAGAAGCAGGCTCGATGGCCTTCCATAGGAGAGGCGGGTTAGGGGCAGCAACCCTTTGAGTGGGCTGTCGCGTAGGGCGCGAAAGAAAGCGGTGCGTTCGACTGAGTTGAACGCGTTGGAGAAGTCCACCTGGAGGAGCAGGTGTTCGGGGTGCTGTTCGAGATGGGTTCTTGTTGCGTGCACCACCGTTTCGCCCCCTCCCTTCATCGCCACTCCTAGCCTAAGTGGAGAAATACGCGTCCAGCGTATTATACGCAAGCGTATTATACGCTAGCGTATATACGCTGTACGCTTCATTATGGGATTGGATACGCTAGGAAATACGCTCTGGCGGGCAGGTATAAAAACAACTCGGGCAGGGGTAAAAAAAACCTGTTTGGGGAGGGAAGAGGGGGGGTTCAGAGCACCAAATTCCCCCCACCAAATGTGGCATCATTTAGCATGGTAATAAATAAATAGTTCAAGCCACCAAGGGCATGTCAAGGGTTCCAAACTCCAACAACCAGCCAACCACCCATCTCAGGTAAGCCTCCCCCAAACCGCCCGCCTAACCCTCTCCTGCTCTGCTCTACAGGTACTCGTCCAGCAGCTCCTCATCTTCGCCCTCCTCATCCTCCTCCTCCCGATCCACCCTGTACCCGCAGGGACGGGGGCGTCCGGGATGTTACCGGACACCACCCCCGCCCCCTCGTCGGCCATGTGCCAGTTGTGCACAACCTTCCAGTTGTGCGCAACGTAAACCAGATCCTTGCACTTTTCTGAACCCAGCCGGTTGCGTCGGGCGGTGTGGACAGTATCCCACACCGCCCAGTTGCGCTCGCAGCTGGATGCAGACACCGGCTGAGTTAGCACTCGGCAAGCAAGGGCCATGAGCAAGGCGTGGTCAGTGCCGTGCCACTCCCACCACGCCTCCATGGAATAACTTCCTTCCTTCACCAACTTCCGGTCACTGATGGCCTCAGCCGTGCCGAAGCTGCCCCTCAACTTCAGAAAGGCGGCCAACCCTTCCTGCAGGAGGAGTGTGGCACGCTTGGGCAGGCCATCCCTCTGGGGAATCATCACCCCGCCATAGTGGCGGGCAATGAAAGCTTTGAACACATTGGTGCACTCCGTGTCCGGCCCAAAAATCCGCTCCTCCTGGTTGACCGGGTTAAGAATCCGCTCGACCACATGCAGTGGGCAAGCCATACTCTCATCCCAACGCCGCTTCACAATCTCATTGACGCCCTTCTTGTCTCCCGCACTCAGCACCCCATCCCCCTCCTCCTTCAGCAGTTCTGCCACATTCACAGTGAGCTCAAGCATCAGCTCATAGATGCGGCCCATCATCCCTTTCGTTGCCGAATCCGTCGCCCTCATGGCCTTGAACGGGAGCAGGAGCAGCCTCTTGAAGAGCTCAGCCGCTGGCCACCAGTCCTTATCCATGATCTGGTCGTGGAATGTCTCTGCAGCTGCCTTCTTTGGGCCCACCGCCCACTCCGCCTTCCATGCATCGCAGAGCACCATGGTCACCAACGTTGACCGCAACTCCACCAGGCGGGACACAGCAATGTGCTGCGTCCCAAACCTGGTCCCCGCCGGCCTCAGCATCTGCAGCCCCTTCCCTCCGTCCACACCCCTGAGATACTGTCGGGTCCAATGGTGGCTGCGGGTGTAGTTGATGAGCTCGCTCGCCCGCCCCACTACCTCCTTGGCCCAAGCCTGCCGTCCCACATCCTCCATAAGGAGGTCGAGCACGTGCGTCGCACACGGCACATGCTCGATGCGCGGATTCTCTGCAATGAGGAGCCGGCAGGCGCTGTGGTAGTTGCTGCCGCCATCGGTGCAGAATGCCACGATGTTCTCGACCCCAACCTTTTGCAGGATGGGCCGGAGGAGCCGGGCGATGTATCCCCCGGTCTTTTTCTCCATCTTGCAGTCAATACTCTCGACGAACACTGCGCCGGTGTCATTGACCAGCATCACATTCGCCTGCGGCCTGCCACACTTGTCGGTCATCATGTCGCTGGCAATCGTCATGCCGTGGCGCTTCCAGCTCGACATGACGCCCGTCAATCCCTCGTCAATCCGCTTGCGGCATAGCTGCAAGCCGGCACCACCCACGTAGTCGCGCTTTGGAGGCACATAGCTGGTCCCGCGCGCGCGATGGACCGGACGGCGTTGCGCCAAAGCGGGTGGTCGGCATGGCGCTCGGGAAGGCGGAGGCCGGCAAAGAGGAGGCAAATAGCCTCGTCCGCCGCCGCCTTGGCCGCTTGGGCGTCATCGGACAGGTAATCAGTGATCTTCCGCTTTCCCCGACCACTAACGGCGTCGAGGGCCGACTCCTCCGCCCTATGTGCCTCCTCCCTCGCGAGCACTTTGGCGGTTTGGAACGCGCGGACGGCAGCCTGCTCCTCCTTCCCTACCTCCTCGCATTTCCGAACCTCGCGCCTACGCATACCATCCCAACTAGTGATGTGCTGTGCGCAGCGGTAGGCCGTCCCGGTAAAGGATACGGGGCAGTACTTGCACCAATACTTTTGCTGCTTGCCGTGCTCCTTATGCTTAAACTTGAAATGCTTAAAGATAGCGTGGGTGGAGTTCTCCAGGAGCTCGTCAGAGGAAGACGCAGCACAGGAGGTTCCCGCGTCGGTTCCGTGGGAACCAGGACTAGGTGGAGGGTTCGACATAGCAACAGTCGCTAAAAAACCAGCTAGCTAGTCGCGCTAGCTTGGAAGAAGAAATGACTGAAGTTAGCGCGCCAGTTTACTTGTACCCTGATTTCGTCGTAGGAGTGAACTGCGCTGAACCCTGCTGGAGTAGAGTAGAGAGGGAGAGGAAGGAGATTTCTTTGGGTGTTGTTTGGAAGTCGCAGATTGGGTGGGATGCTGTGTGGTTGGGAGGGGCGAAGGGGTTGGGTTGACGATTTGAAAAGCCAAATTTCGGTTTGCGACATGACGAAATCCCTGTGGGGTTTCGTCATGTCGCAAATTTGTCGCACCGTTTTTTGCGTATTTCTTGCCGGGCTGCCCGCCAAGAAATACGCTAGCGTATTGCGTACTTAGCTAGCGTACAGCGTATTCGTATTATACGCTAGCGTATGTACGCAATACGCTAGGCTGCCCAAGCGTATTTCTCCACTTAGCTCCTAGCTGCAGGGGCGCGAAGTGGGCTTGGGCCAGGGTCGTCGTGAGGTGCAGGCTGGCCTTGCCGAAGAGGCGTAGTAGGCACTCGCCGATGGCGATGGGCCTAGTGCCGTCGTCGGGTTTGGTGAATGCCAGCAGTCTCGAGGCGGTGAGGAGGTCCGCCGCCTCTAGCGGCACTTGCCCTGCGAGTGCCGCGTTGGTCACTTCTGTGAGCAGATTCAGGACGTCAGCGTTCGAGGCGGCTGCGTCCCTCGAAGCACATGCCGCTGGGCCCCGCCCCGACTCCGTTCGGGCTCCGTCATAGTACGGCTTTGAGCTCCCGTGGTGTGATGGTGAGACGCGGCGGGTGCGGGGCTGTATTGGCGTCGGTGGGTGTTGTGCTTGTGAATGTCGCCCAGTTGGGGAGGGCGTGTTTGGCGGCGGGGTGTTTGTCTCGGAGGGCGTGAAGTGTCTCCAGGGTGGGTTCGCACACCGGGGTGGATTCCAGGGCTTGGAGGGCCTTCCGTAGGTTCCCGCGCTTAGTGAGTGTTTCCGCTCAGGCTAAGTGCCCGGCGGTGTCATTCGCGTGGCGTGGGGGTCGTGGTAGTGAAATCGAGGTCACGGCCTCGTCGTATAGTGCCTCCCAGGCGCCTGTGGCGAATTTGCGACAGCGTCGTAACATTCCATCCCAGTCCGGATTCCTCGTTGACGTAGTCGCGAGGGTCAGGCGAGGGAGGAGGAGTAACAGGCGCCAACCTCCTCTGCTGTCCCTGTTACGCGCGAGGTGCAGCAGTGGTGTCATCAGGCAGGACGCGAACTCCGCCAGGATTTCGCGCGGTAGGCGACGTGCCAGGGGTGGGAGCCTAGACTCGCGGAGCAGGGTCATGTCCCACTTGCACACTTTGGCGAAGAGTTCGTCGTTCTTCGCTAACGCCAGAGGGGATTGTACCCGCGCTGCAGGGGTTGGTCTGCGGGCGACTGTCGAGCCGCGGCGGGTGTTGAATGTGGCGGCTCGCCGGTTGGATTGGCCGGGCCGCACATTTGCGTCTCGGGCGGGGGAGTCCTCCAAATCTCCCTCGTCTGGGGCGCCTTCCCAGTTTACCCCGATTGGAGGGGTATAAGTGGGGTCGTTTGCGTGTTGAATAATCGTCCTCATCATCAGCTTCCTCCGTGTTCCCTTCCGCTGGTCCCCGCGTAGCTCCTCCTCCTGGTGTGTCTGCAGTTGGAGTGTCAGCACTTAGCCAATTTTCCATCCCTCGGTCCGTCCCTCCGCCTCCGCCTGCTTCTGACTCCGTCGCTCTATTAGCGTTGGGTGCTGTAGCGGCTGGGTGTGGTCCCCGGCGCCGTTCTTCGCGTTGTAGGCGCGCGACGACGCCGCGGAAGGTTGCAGCGCCTGTCGACGCTCGCCCGAGCCCTTGTCCGCCCCTCGTTCCTCCGTGTCCTCGGGTTGTGCTTCTCGTTCGCTCCCCCCCCCGGGGCCGCGGTTGTACTTGCGCGGGCCGTGGCTCGCGTGTGTGGGGCTCTGCTTCTTTCCGGCTGCGCTAGAGATGACGCAGGGGTTGCTCTTCTCCCCCTCGCGCCTGCCCCTACGTGAGGCGGAAGCGTCCCCGTCGCCGGTGGGTTCTCCTTCCGGCGTCTCGCTGGCTCTGTCGCCAACGTCCCAGCTGCGCTTGGAGTTTCGGCAGCAGCAGGTCCAGGTGGCAGCGATCGCGAGCGCTCTCGAGCAGCTTCTGCGGCTGCCTCGGTCCGCTGTCGGCAACCGGGTCGCGTGTTCTCCGCCGCCGCCTGCGCCCGCGCCCGCGATTGTACGAGACGGTTTCGCGGGAAGTCCCATGGATCGCTCCCCGCTTCGCCCGTCTGCCCTGTTGCCGGCTCAGCCCGCGTTGTTTCCTTCTCCGTCTCGGCTTCCGCCGTCGCCCTTTCCAGTCCCCCCGGCCCCTCCGGCTCCCCCTCCGTCGAGGGGGTTCGCCGGTGGTCCCGACTCCTCTCCCCGCGGGGTCCTCCAACCGCCTCCTCTGCCTCCTCCAAAATCGCCAGCGGGACCACCAGCCCCTGTCGAACACGACGTCGTATCGGGTCAGGGCGTGTCCGCGGGGTCTCCGCCACCGCCGTTTCGTCCGATGAAGTGTCCCCGCGGGGGCGCCGCGGCGGGCTCTCGGGCAGGGTCACCTCCGACCGTAGTGCCCGGAAGACGAAGGGACTGCTCTCCGCCTCTCTCTGATCGTCCTCGGGGGTCGGGTTTGCGGGTGGGGCGGGGTATGCCGCCGACACCAGTGGGTGTGCTCGGCGACCCGCCGCCGGTTCCTCGTCCGCCTGTCCGCCTGGCGTCGCCGCGCGCGTTCTCGCCAGTTGAGGCGATGGCCGGCGTCGTCGCATGTATTGGCGCGGTGGCCGAGGTGCTGGATTGTCTCCCCCCGCCGTCGTTGCAGGCGCCTCCCCGGAAATCTGAGGCGGGTCGGTCGTGGCGGCCTGCGATGTCTCGCCGCCAGCAGCGACGTGCGATGGAGGCCGCGTCGCTACTCCTCTGGCGGCTGGCCTATGGGTTGCCGCCAGGAGCAGAGGCGGGGGAGCTGGATCATGCTCCTCGCGCCGTTGATGAGTTGAATCGGTTGCTCGTGGCGAATCAGCGCCCGGCGATCTTGGCCGCTCGCGCGGCGGTGCTTCGGGCGTTGGAGAGTCGGGCCGGGGCCCTTGTCCCGCCGTCGGCTTTGGAGATGTAGTGGGTGGGCGGTTGTCTGGCGTGTACGCCAGGTCCCCGCCATCGTGTGCTGTGGTTGGCGCTGTAGACATAGGCTATTTGCTAGGTTGTAGCTCCCTGTGGAGGCATGCTTGTATGCTGTAATGTCCCTGGTTTTGGAGTGCATCCCTATCCCCACCCCTTCTCTGCCGCCCTGCGCAACCGCAGGCCGCGCCGCGAGCGACGGCGGCCGAAGGCGGCCAGCGCGAGCGCCGCTGCAGGGACCGGATGGAGAACTCAACTCGAAACTAAATAATGAACTCTAGGATGGGTGGAAGAGCCTTATATACCATGGGCTCTCTCTCTCTCTCTCTCTCTCTCTCTCTCCTCTTCTCTCTCTCTCTCGTCTCTCTCTCTCTCTCTCTCTCTCTCTCCTCTCCTCCTCTCTCTCCCCTCCCTCTCTCTCTCTCTCTCCTCTCTCTCTCTCTCTTGGTTCTCTCTCTCTCCTCTCTCTCTCTCTCCTCTCTCTCTCTTCTCTCTCTCTCTCTCTCTCTCTCTCTCTTCTCTCCTCTCTTCTTCTCGTCTCGTCTCCTCCCTCTCTCTCCCTCCTCTCTTCTTCTCTCTCTCTTCCTCTCTCTCTCCTCTCTCTCCCCCTCCTCTCCTCTCTCCTCTCTCTCCTCTTCCTCTCTCTCTCCTCCTCTCTCTCTCTCTCTCTA